TATTAGAAGTGGTCCCACATGGAGAGAGAAAGAGACGCAAACTCTAGTTGCCAAAACTGAAAAATGAAACCCTTCCACTCAGGGTTTGCCACGTGGAGCAAGATCACTCTAAGACCTGATCTTGCGGAAGATCTCTCCCTAGTGTTCTAACACACTATTCACATTATTTACAATTTTTTAAACCCTTAGACCATCTTATGTGTTCTCCCGTTAAATATGGTCTTAGGATTTGTTGAATTATGGATCCTAGAATTATAATGAATTTTGGTATATTAGAAAGTTAAATTGGTGATTAGTTTTATTTATGAGTTTTGATAGATGATGAATTTTATTAAATAGTATTTTGATACTTACAAATATGCCACCCAGTATATTAAAATTGTGGCTAATTGATACTTAAAAGTTAAAACTAGCCACAAAAATATTAAATAGTACAACAGATAATATTCCGTATCTAAGTTCATGGTCATATTGCCACCACCGCTATTTCGTTACCAATGTAGCCTCCTACGAGAAAGTGGTTACTCGGTTGCGAAGCTTAGCCCAAATTCGTGGCAAACTTAACCCAAGAAAATATTAAAAATGGACATGACATCTGATATTCCATATCTAAGATCATCGTCACATTGCAACAATATATATATTCGCTGTTCCGCTATTCCATTGCCAATTTATTCAGTACAAGCAAATGGCTTAGTCCATTTGACCATTCCGAAGCTTAGCCTAAATCTTCGAAAGAATATGCGGCTAAATGACCTTTCTTCTAGTATATTGTGAAGAGAAACTTGGTCGATACTTGCATTTCGTCATGGTTAAAGTGTGGTGAATGTATGAACCATGGACACATGGTTGCAGCTTTCACATGACAACAAAAAAGAATGGTTTGAAATGTAACAAATGTTGAACGAGGACTCAAGAATTCAAGATTATATGTAAGGATGTGAAACAAAACCATGAGAAGAATCATGAACAATCTTAGCTTTTTCTATTCAGACATTAGTACACGAGAGATAATTTATCAATTAACTTCTTTGCTATTTCATATCAAGAACTCCAAACATTAGAAGACAATTTTTTAAAACTGTGTTCATACTTCAAATACACAAAATTTAATCAGTTAGTTTCTTCTTTCAGACAGGTCTGATCTCAATTCCCTGAATAATCAAACCACTCTTCCAATTTCCATTCTGAGTCTCCATTAAACTAATCTCTATCTCATCACAACCTCCATTGTCAATGAAAAACCTCCCAAGCTCCACTTCACTCCATCCATCTACTCTCTCCTTTGGCCCCTCCACATTCCTACCACGCTCCCTCTCTCCTTCAACTTCTTCTTCTTCTTCTTCTCTCGGAACCCGCAGCCACGGACGCCTCATCCTAAACGCTCTAGAAACCGCAGCGTGCGAAATCCCCGAGTAACCAAAACCGCTGCGTGAATCCATACCGGATTCAAGAAACACTGATTTCTTGGTAGCTTCTTTGCCCACGAAACCAACTCCAGCTTCCACAGGTACGGAATCGAACCCATATGATCTACCATATGCCGTCTTGTACACCACGTAAACCGAGTAATGAGTCCCTTTCGATAACATTCCGCAACTTATCTTTCCCTGAATCTCAAACCAACACACATTACGTAGCTCAGCTACTTTCTCAAACCTGAATTCACATATAGACACAAAACTAAGTAAACAAACCCGAATTGCACAAAATCAAAAACAGAGGAGAAAAGAACAAAAAGATGAGAACTTTACTTAGATTCAGGAACTGTAATCCATTGCCAATAAGCAGGAGCATCTCCCCAAATGATCGACAACTCCATTGCTGATAACATGAAACACTTCTTCCCACTAGCTTTCTCTAACCAAAAGCTCTGATTTTCCCAAAAAATCAACAAAAAAAATCAGGATTCAAAGGACAAAAAGCAAAACCCTAATTTCAAATTCTCGAATCGGATTCAAATTATTTACCTTTTTGCCATCTTCAATCAAAACAGAATCATTAGCGAGAGATAAAAAAATCTCCTTTTTCGATAAAAGATTCGCCGATCGAGCAACAACAAGAGACGAATATTCCGACGGAAGAAACATCTCCCAAACCAAATCCGATTGCGCCGCCGATTTCACCGTTTTCGAAACCGAAGCCACAACACAAGCGTCTCGTGGACTCGTATGTGAAATCACCTTCGAGATGCAATCTTCCGGCAATGTATCGAACCGCGACGCTCTCGTCGCAACAATCTCATCGTTTCGGCTACTTCCGCCGCCGGAATTCGAATCTCCGCCGTGAATTTGTTCCATTGTTTTTGGAATCTGATGATGAAACGGTGTGTTTTGTTATGTTGTTGTGAGCGTGGCAATGAAGTGGATATTTATATCCTTCGTGATGCGTGAAAGACTTAGAGGTTAAGATTTTAATGTGATATTCCGATAATACCCTTATAAGTCAAAAGTTGTTTTCCAAATAAAAATTTGTAAAGGTTTTTGGCCTTTATCTAATCAGGCAAAGCAAGTGACTTTTGTTACGTGTTTAACTTACCTATGAAGTCTTTGTTACGACTTATGACGAGATATATTTCTATTAATTATTCCCATAAGTCAATAATAATTCAATGTCTTAATCAAGACCAAGTTCATGTATGTATGTATATGTGTCATTCTATTTCTACAGCTCTTTCCCAACACTCCTAAGTAAAGTCTGCAAAAGCATTATGGGATGATAAGAAGAAAATAAACACAATTTCTTTATTGAAATTTGTTCATGTGAGGATCATATAAGAAGACTTCATATTTAAACATTACACACATAAAAATCCAAATACTCTACTTCTCTTTCTTGAAGTAAAAAAAAGTCTACAAAAGCATTGAGTTTGTTCATGTGAGAATCATGAACATCATAATCAATAACCCGAGGTGACAAACATCACAATCTAAAACATTAAAATTTCATGTTACAATACAACAAAGTTTCTCACTTGCTTAGGAATATATATTGAACCAAAGCAAACAATACAACAAAGTTTCTCACTTACTTAGGGGCTTTTCGTAGGGCGGAATTCGATTCCTTGAATGATCAAACCACTCTTCCAAGAAGGAGACTTAATCTCAATAACACTAAACTCAATTTCATCACAACTTTCTTCATTGAAGAATTCACCAAGCTCAGCTTCCATCCACCCATCTTCTCTCTGCTCTGGTTTCGTTACATCTCTCGTTTCCCTCCCTCTCCTTCGATCCCTAGGTCCAACGAAGTATATGAACCTTTTAGAAGATTCTTGTCCCACCAAACCAAGTCCAACTTCTACCGGCAAATGCCCTAATCCAGGACATCCATCATTCGTCTTGAAAACAATGTAAGCCGAGTAACGAGTACCAGGAGATAATAAACGAGTGCTTGTCTTGCCCCGAATCTCAAACCAACATACATTAAGAAGCTCTGCTACTTTTTCAAATCTACATAACAACAAGGTGTGCAAATTCATCATCATCATTGCCAATTCCAAGGACTATTAATTAGAGAGGAAAAAAAAGAGTCACCTAGATTCAGGAACTGAAATCCATTGCCAATATTCAGGACTACTTCCCCATGTGATCCAAAGTTCCTTTGAAGATAACATGATACACCTTTTCCCACTCGCTTTCTCTAACCAAAAGCTCTATGATTTTTCGAAAAATAAAATAAAATTGTTAAAGAATAATTAAACTTTCTATAATCAGGTTTAATTCAGATTTATGTTGCCATAATTATCTAACAGAAATCAATGATTAATAAACACATGATTTTCGATTTGATCATTGTTCTCCAATCGTATAAACAAAAGAATAGATATAAATACCTTTTTGCCATCTTCAATCAGAACATGATTGTGGCAGAGAGCGAAATAAAGCTCCTTCTTCGATGCGAAAACTCGAGATTGAGAAACCAGAGATGAATAATCCGGCGGAAGAAACTTGTCCCATACGCTATCGGAATTAACAGCCGATTCAAAGGTTTTTGAAACCGATGCAGCGACGCACGCTTCTCGTGGACTTGTGAAAGAGATTATGTTGGAGATGCAATCCTCCGGCAAGACATCAAAAGGTGACGGCCCCGGAACAACGATCTCTCCACCGCTAGATTCAATAATGCCATGATTTTGCCCCATCATCGATCGGTGCCTTTGATCAAATCGTGTGTATTTGGGAAAACTTAATAAACTCGTGAGTTCTGACTCTTTCAAACTCGATTCTTTTGTAATAAAGGAATATAATAGACAAATGGTTCGTGTAATGTTGTCCACACATATATACGAAACTACCTTACATTACACGCTTCATGTTTTCACTGTTGTTTGGTTTTGCACTTTTTGGTTATGAAAAATTCTAAACTAACCATTGAACCGACATTTATATGATTTTATGATAAAAAAATGTTAATCTATACAAGATTGTACATCTAAACTTGTTACATAAAATTGAAATATCTGTCCATTCATTTATACAATAACACGCTATTTTGATTGTGAACATGACATTTATAGTTATCTATATTATTTCGAATTTGATTTTGCTAAGTAACGGTGTATAAAGCGTGGAAACGAGGCAGATATTTTATCTTCGTGAGTGATCGTTACAGGTTAAGATTTAAATGTGATTTTCCGATCATAACCTTGTAAATGAATCGTCTTCAAAGAATCTATCAAAAGTTTATTTTTCAAAAGAAGTTTTGCCTTTATTTAATCTCCCAAAGCAAATAACTTTTGTTCCATGTTTAACTTACCCCTGAAGTCTTTGTTACGAAAGATATAATAAATTATATTAATTAGTCAGAAAAAGTCAATAATTTATATATTTAATGAGTCTTTGTTTAAATTTTAAAATCAGATCATGTCGACAAATTTATTCATTTGTTATTCTATATCTCTATTGTTTTTTGCCAAGTAATTTTCTGCAAAAGCATTGTAGATGATAAGAAAACACAAAAAACAATCTTTATTGAAATATGTTCATGTGAGAATGATGAACATCCAAATCAAAACATTGCAATCCAAAAACTAAAAATAGTTCGTGTTACCATACAACAAAGCTTTTCACTTGCTTAGATATAGAATTGAAAGCAAACAAACAGAAACTGGAATCATCCAAACATGATATTACTTTACTGGCTTTTCGTAGGTCGGAATTCGATTCCTTGAATGATCAAACCACGCTTCCAATAAGGAGACTTAGTCTCAAGAATACTTGTTGCAACCTCATCACAACTTGATTCATTGAAGAATTCACCAAGCTCAGCTTCCATCCATCCATCTTTTCTCTCCGTTGGTTTCGTTACAACTCTCGTTTCTCTCTCTCTCCCTCGATTCGTAGGCCCAACAAAGTAAATGAATCTTTGAGATGATGCTTGTCCCACCAATCCGACTGTAGCTTCTGCTGGCACATCCCCCAAATTAGGACATCTATCCTTTGTCTTGAACACAATGTAAGCCGAGTAACGAGTTCTAGGAGATAGGTATTTAGTACTCATGCCCCCTCGGACCTCAAACCAACACACATTGAGAAGCTCTGGTACTTCTTCAAACCTGCATGAGTGCACCATCATAATCATCATCATCATGAGAATAATTAGTGATTTCAATAGAATTGAATGACAAAAAAGGAGTTACCTAGCTTCAGGAATTGAAATCCATCGCCAATATTGGGGAGTACTAACCCATGTGATCCACATATCTTTCTTCGGAGATAACATGATACACTTTTTCCCATTCCCTTTCTCTAACCAGAAGCTCTTTTATTTCCCGAAAATAAAAGAAAAAATTCAAAATTCAAAACAATCATAAATATTCAATAGAGATGCATGAGTTTATAACTTAACAACTACACCAAAATTGTTCCATCATATCAGAAATATTTTTCTGAAAACAAAATTTCAAAGAAATCTAGTTGCCATAATCATCTAATTAACATAACTCGATAATTCAACACACGAATCTTCATTTTAAGGAACTGATGTATGTTACACATATATATATATATATACCTTTTTACCATCGTCGATTAACACAGGATTATCGCATATAGCGAAATAGAGCTCCTTCTTCGATGAAAAAACTCGCAATGGAGGAATTAGAGATGAATAATCCGGCGGAAGAAACTTGTCCCATACGCTATCGGAACTAACAGCCGATTCAAAGGTTTTTGAAACCGATGCAGCAACGCACGCATCTCGTGGACTTGTGAAAGAGATTATGTTGGAAATGCAATCTTCCGGTAAGTTATCGAACAGCGACGGTCCGCTAGATTCAACGCCGTGTTTTAGCATCATCGACGAAGAACCGGCCACTTCTTTGCCTTTCCCTGTGGAGTCAACGCTTTGTTTGTGCCCCATTGTTGCTTCTATGATCTGTGTAATCTTTCTTGGTTTGGAAGCTGAGAATTTAAAGAAATCTTCTAAAGTCGCCTACGTTGTTAAAAAAATAGAAAATGACTCGTTTTTTAGTCGTCAGAACATATTTACGAAACTACCCTTATTCGCATAAATGCCTGCCGCGTGCGTTCCTACACGTTCACGCACGCTGCATGTTTTTTACTGACTGTTGGTTTAGCAAATTTTACTCTTGGCTTTGGTTTGCAAAATTTTTACTAACCATATCCGTAAAAATGATTGGGACAATTAACGGCCTACAAAAATAGAGAACTTTACTAAGACCAGTACATATTTATTCATATGTTATTCTGTCACTTTAGTTCTTGGCTATGTAAAATGTACAAAACCATTGTAGATGATTAGATAAACAAAACACATCTTTTATTATTGTAATTTATTCATGTGTGAGAATGATGAACATCAAAATCAAACATTACAATAAAAAAACCCTTAAGATATGTACAATACAAATGTTTTTCACTTGCTTTTATATAAAATTGAAGCAAACAAACATAGACCGGAATCATCGAAACCGAATATTAGTTTACGGGGAGAAATTATATGGGGAGTCCCCTTTTGTATAATTCTAACCCCATAAATCCCCGTTCAAAACATATAATATTTTTTTCTTCATTTTAATTCGAAAACTGGTGTTTTTACCACTATACCCTGAATAAAACCCAAGTATTACATCAGAAAACCAGGATCTATCCACCCGACCTATATTGACCCGGCGAGCTCTCGGATTCACTCCAATTTTGCGACAGAGTTACGGATTTTCAAAAATCAAATCCCTAACTTTTCTCCTTTTCTCTTCGCTCCATCTTAAACGAGAAAGAGAAACCCTAACTTTTCAATTTCAAATCTCTAACTTCTCTGAATTCTCTTCCTCTCTTATTCAAATCTCCCCAGAAACCGATTGCCTCTCATTTTCTCTATTCAAATCTCTCCAAATTCGATTGCGTTTCTTGTTTCTCTTTCTGTCCGATAATGCCTCCAAAGAAAGGGTTAAAGAGGAAGAGAGTAGCAAAGGCAACGACGGTGGAGCCAACTTCGGAGCAGGAGCCATCCTCGACGGAGCAGACATCTTCGACGGAGCAGCCAACTTCGGAGCAGCCATCCTCGACGGCGCAACCATCCCCGACGGAGCAAAATAAGGCAATTGAGGGAGAAGGAGCTGAAGAACAACAAGTCCTGGGGACCTTAAGTCCGGTTTTAGAAGAGTCAGACAAGAATGAAGAAGAAAATTCTGAGAAGAATGAGGAAGAAGAGAGTGGCGAAGAAGAGAGCGAAGAAGAAGACAAAGAAGAAGAGAAAGAAGAAGGGAATGAGGAAGGAGAGGAGTCCTCCGATGATGATGGTAGTAGATCTTTGGGCGGAGAGTCCTCCTCTGATGAGAGTAAGGAGGATGAGATTGCGCCAGAAAATCAGCCGGAAAATGCTATGGTAAGTATTTGAATGGTGTGAAACTGGTAGAACAGGGTAATACTATGTGTATATCTGTGTACTACTGATAGAACAGGGTAAAACTATTATTTATTGGTATAACTGGTAGAACTGGGAATACTATGTGTTTGAATTCTGGGTATAACTGGTAATACTAGGGCATTACTATATGTTTGATTTCTGGGTAATACTGGTATTACTAGGGTATAACTATGTGTTTGAATTCTTGGTGAAACTGGTATTACTGGGATACAACTATGTGTATATTTTTAGGGTAATACTGGTAATACTATTCGCAGAATAATGATATATGAATGAATGTCTGTTTTGTTGCAGGAGATCGACGAGGAAACAGAAGCAATACCACCGCTGAGTATGTATTTCCCGCCTTCGGAATATGTGAAGAAAATCAAGCTATCAACTCGGTGCTATATTCACGAAGTGTTGACTACATTCGATAAGTTGGAGCCTCCGATGAGCAAGTCTGAGAGGGCATTTTTTGAGAATCATCCGAGTTTCCAACACGTCTTCCACATGCCAAGAGATCCAAACCACCGAGTTATGGGAATGTGGATGCTCCTTCTTCACACAGCGCGCATTGAAAGGAAGAAGGAAGTGTGGTTCATCGTCAATGGCGTTCCAATCCGATATGGTATATCGGAACATGCATTGATATCAGGCTTCAATTGCAAAAACTATGCACTTGGGTATAAAAATGTGGGAAGTACGGTGTTCAAGACGAAGCATTTCAAGAATGCTGTTGTGAAACGTGAAGACGTGAGAGAGAAGCTCTTAAAAATGGTACCAAAGGGTGAAAGATCTAAAGATAGGTTGAGGATGATGGTCCTCTATTTCCTAACCAGCATTATTGTAGCGCCTATCAAGACCGGGGAGAAGGCACCTGAAGTGGATGAATTGTGTCTAAAGGCTGTAAATGATCTTGCGTTTTGTAAGAATTTTCAATGGGGGAGGTATTCTTTTGATTACATGTTACAAACCATCGCACACACGATGGATCATTTTAATGGTGTTGTCACCAACAACGAGAAGTACATATGGCCGGTTGCGGGTTTCTGTCTTCCGATAGAGGTTAGTTACAAGTTATAGTAATTGGTGATTGTTTGGAATACTGGTAATACTGGGAATACTATTTATTAGGAATACTGTTTATTATAGGAATACTGGTAATACTGCATATTAGAAAACTAGTAATACTGGTATTACTGTTGAATCTAAATATATGTTTTTTTATTCTGTAGCTTCTTGCATTCGAGGCAATCCCACTGTTGAGGGAAAAATTCATTGAGGACATTGCAGGAGCAGATGAGGGATGTCCTAGGATGTGCAAGGTGAAGTTCAAGAAGAACCATTTGAAAGGCATTCCTCTTGATACTATTAATCATGAATTGGGTACAACTCAGGTTAGTTGTCCTATATATTCTGTTTTATGAAACGTTTGCTATTCTATTTAATTATAATAATCCATATTTGTTTATGTTTATAGGTCATTGATTGTATCGTCTCACCTAGAATTGAAGAGCACGCACTTATGAGAGCAATCACGGAAGAAGAAGACGACGTTGACATAGCTGATCCGGTGGTGGAAAGTTGGTTGAAGCGTCATAAAGAGGGCCGTCTAATTAGGTTTGAAGAGCTGTACCAACAGGATCTACAGGCCCGAGGAATCATCGCAGGACCAGAGATTGCGGGTGGTGAGGATATTCCCGCAGTAGATGGACAAGAACTCCCGAGTTTGGCTGCTGTGGTGGAGATGATTCAAGACATGAAAGTTGGGATGACAGATCAGCTGAATGAAATCCTAGTATTGATTTCAGGGTTGGATGATACAGTTAACTCGTTGGATAAAAGAGTTAAATCGTTGGAAGCATTCAGGGAGGCGCAGAAAGTAGATAAGAGAAAGGTACGATTTGTAATACTGGTATAACTGAGTAATACTGTGATATAACTTTGTTCAATTGCAGGATCAAGAAGAGAAGAATCAAGAGAAGGATGGTGACCCGGAAGAGACAACCCAAGAGAAGGATGGTGACCCAAAAGATACAACCCAAGAGAAGGATGGTGACCCACAAGTAACCAAGATGACGACTCGGAGCAAGAGACAGCTTGGTTGACTGATTTGTCTCTTTGATGTTTGGATTTGAACTTGGATTTGTTATGTTAATTGTTTTGGATTTGTCTTGTTAGGATTTGAATTTGGATTTGTTAAGTTAGTTTTATAAATTTAATTAAGGAATACGGGTAAAACTAGTAATACTGATAATGGTAATACTGGTAATACTAGTAAAACTGGTATTACTAATTAAGGAATACGTGTAAAACTAGTAATACTGATAATGGTAATAAGCTTACAAAGCATAGGAAAGTCTCATAAATCATAGAAAAGTCTTACAAAGCATAGACAAGTCTTACAAAGCAAAAAATAAGCTTACACATTAGTGAGCGACTAACTCCGAACGCATTTCTCCGCTAGATGAGCGACTAACTCCTTCAGTTTTTGGATCTCCTTACCATTACCTTTCAACTCCGAACGCATTTCTTCTTGATAGTACTCCAAGCTTTGAATCTTTTTGTGATGGGTATCAACCTCCTCCCTTAAGTTAGTCACCTCTTCTTCCATAGCTTTATCCCAAAGTTTCCGAATGTGTAAACCATCATTCTACAGTACAAGAATTCTATATCGAGATCAATTATTCAACATACATCTGGGTAATACTAGTGTAACTAGTAATACTACATACATCTGAGTAATACTAGTGTAGCTAGTAATACTACATGTTTACGGGTAATACTAGTCTAACTAGTAATACTACATACATCTGGGTTCTCAGAGATCTACCAGTTCTACAAGTTCTACCAGTTTTACTTTCGCGTCAATAATGATACTATCTATTTACCTTATACACGTTGCATTGATAGTATCTCTTCCCTTTGTCACCATCGTTCTCAGAGATCTTGTCGAGGATGCGTCCACCACAAGGACATCTATTCGGAATTCCTTCCATCATTCCGACTTCTTCTAATTGATCATAAATCTTCTTAGCGTTCTTCATCTCATCATACCATGGATCTCTCTCACACAATCGATCCATAATTGAAAAAGAGAGAAAGATTGAAGAGAAGGAAAAAGTTGGATCTCGTTTTCTTGAGCTTGGAGAGAGAGAGAGAGTGAATTGAGAGATAGAGAGAGAGAGAGAGGAGAAGTCTCGATTGTGAATTAGAAGTGGAGAAAAAAAGAATTTTAGTTATTTGTTTTTGTTGATTTTGGGTTTAATTGATTTTGGAGGGAAAAAAAATTTGGGGGGAGAAATTGGAATTATATGCCCACGTGTGCGTAGTCAAACCCACGTGTGCGCAGTCAAATCCACGTGTGCGCAGTCTTTGTGACATGTGCGCCGTTTTTTTTTTAACATAGTTGTACCCTAGTTTTCAGTTGTACAAATTGTCCACATAGTTTTACTTTTGGTGTTTTCAAATTTAACCAGTATTACACATCCTTAAAAATGATTTATCTAGTTGTACACTTGAGGAAACTCTATTATTATTGAATTCTAAAGGTTTAATGTAATAAAATGTTAAAAATATATAAAATTGTAAAATATCAATCCTAAATTGGAGTTTATATCAAAAGTGAGCTTAAAAGTATAAGGAATATGTTGGATGTAGTCTCATAAAACAATCTTACATGAAAATATATTTTTTTCCCTATTCTTACTTCGTTTTAAATCATTTGTAAGAGTTTATTATCACTTAATAGTCTATGTTATAGTTGGTGTTGAAAAAATTAGAAATATCAAATTTCATAATTTTCTTCAGTAGTTATACTAGTTATACCAGTGTTACCTAATTTTTTCATTAGTAATACCTGTTATACTAGTATTACCCTTACGCCAGTGAATTAAAACCTAGTATTACAGGAGGCAAATCTAGTGTTACATAGTTGTACAACGCAAATATGGTTTACAAATCATCAAGTTCAGATAAAATCAAATACTATGGTTGCCAAATAACAACCATTGCATCGATTGCCTCGGCCTCCTTTTGTTTTGAGTCCTTTGACGTTTTGGACGCCTTTCCCCGGTGGATGGAAGCCTCAACACTTTTGTTCTACCCTTCTTCTTTTTCCGAGGCAGAGGTAATACCTTCAACGCTTTGATCTCATCTGGGATATCCCACTGTGACTTATCCGGGACTAAATAGATAGTCCTATAATATGCCAATGCCCACATCTCCGCCCAATAATACTTTGAAACCAATTCATGTATTTCCATACTTCGAGTTCTTGTTGTATCTCTCTCGAAGGCAATGAAACCGGCTAGTGCATGCACACAAGGATACTTTTGGATATCGAACACCTTGCAACTGCAAGTTTTCAAGAGTAAGTTGACAAAATATTCTTTCCCTTCACTACCCCTGACATTGTATTCAAGCTGGAATGTGTTTAGCTCCGTCACTTTTAGTTTCTCAGCTTCAACCCATAAATCATGCAAGTAGTTCTCCACTAAAGGCACCAACTTATTCTCATTAGATCCTGACGCGGCTTCTTTCCGATGTTCATTAAACCAAACAGAAATCTTGGACATGATTGCATCAAGCATGTGTATTAAAGAATACTTCCTTGCATTGAGGAAAACAGAATTCAAAGATTCCACACAGTTGCTTGTGTCCAAATTGTATCGCTGTCCTCTGAAACAACACCTAGCCCATTTTTCTTTCACGGTTGTATCCTCCAAATAATTGGCCGCAGAAGGATATCTTAGCTTAAAAATTCTGTACTCCCTCTCGAATTCAGCCATGGTGTAAACCCGACTTAATTCCATGAATCTCCATGCGACTACGTCTCTGTTGACATTAATGGCATGACCTTTCACATTTTGGGATAAATGCCAAATACAATACCCGTGATGAGCCGCGGAATACACATTACGTATGCCTTTGATGAGGCTTGAATTTCTGTCACTCATAAATACCAATTCTGGAGTATCGGGTACAACTGTTAGCAGCTTCTCGAAGAACCATCCCCAACTAGCATCATTCTCACTGTCGAGTACGCCAACCGCTATGATATAATGATGACGATTTGGGTCTTGAGCTGAGGCAAATACTAGAACACCACCATATCGGTTCTTCAAATGTGTTGCATCCACAATTATCACTTTCCTCATCACTTGAAAGCCTTCAATGCTAGCACCCAAAGCTATGAATAGGTACTGAAATTTATCTTCCTCATCCAATTTCAGATATGTTATTGTACCTTCATTTACCTTCTTCAACATGTACAAATAACAATTGATATCCTTGTAGCTATCTTCCGCGCTACCTTTTAAATCACAAATGGCTTTCCTTTTCCCTCTAATTGCGGTGGAGTACGATATCTTCACACCTAATTTCGTCTGAACAAGCTCCATGATAACCTTAGGAACTGGAGTTTCCATTTGTCCTGGAAAAGTATCATGAAGAAGAGCTGCTACTAATTCAGGAGTACCTTTCCTCTTCCTCATCCTTGTACTACTCTTACTTATCCGGGTACAAGTATGCATCTTGTTGTACTTTCTAATCGAGTAAATACTTGTATTCCGAATATTTGAAGCTCGTATACGCCAAACACAACTTTCTTTAGAACACCTTAGGACATACCGCTCCTTATCAGACTTTTTAATAACATAACCAAAACTGTTAGCAAATGCACCTTTGTCCACCACTTCCTGCAATGCCGCCCTGCTTGGAAATTCTTGTCGTAAAATCAGTCCAATACCGTCTTCCCATTCTTTTTTAAACTGACCAGCTTCTACAACAGGCGGTGGCTCAACGTATTCATCACCCCTATCATCACATCTATCCATAGATTCATCACGTGATCCAATCTCAGGATCTTGAGTATCATCAACCTCCATTATTGCCTCATTTGGTACTATTCCTTGTTCCTCCTCGCATTCGCACAAAACGATGGCAGCACTATCTCTCATTTCATCCTCATTTGAATCCAATTCCACATAGTTCTTACCAACAGAACTTTTATTGAGGAGCTCCACTCTCGACAGTTGCTCGGGCAATTCTGGTGGAGTGATGACGTCCACATTCAAAACATATCTACGGTTATTTTCACCTGAAGATATATAGACACCTACATCCTCATCATCACTAATGTAAATCTCTTCAGTTGGTCCCATCAGCACAGCATTGTATCTCATTTGCAATTTAACCTTACTTTCATCTAATCCAAGCTTCGTGCATATCCTACCTTCTAACATGGAGAGCGTTATTTTCCCCTCCGATGTATTCATCATCAAGCTATACATGCGACCTTTGCATTTAAAATATATGATCACGTTCTCCATCATTGTATCCTGCAAAAACAATACAAAAACTCTGTCAGTTATACTAGTTGTACTAGTTGTACTACAATTCAGGGTAATACTAGTATAACTAGTCATACTACATGTAAATGGGTAATACTAGTGTAACTGGTGATACTACATGTAAATGGGTAATACTAGTGTAACTAGTCATACTACATACATCTAGGTAATACTAATATAACCAGTAATACTACGTATATATTTTTCAATAGATTCAGGTACAATTCTACCCAGTTCTACCAGTTGTACTTTCGCGACAAGAACTCAAATCGAATGGTTTCGGGTTCAAAACTACAATTCACTATGATTCAGTTGCTGTAATCCATTTCTTACCCATTTACAGACCTATTCGACCCAGAAACTATGCATAAACTTCCAATGTGCATATCCAAACACAATTTGCTTAATCTCAAATCTAATTGAATTGAATCTCCTACATTTCTAAATCCAAAACTTCAATTTGAAGCTCTATGCAGCTCGAACAACATACCTTTTCTCTCTATCTCGACGCAGCTCGCCGGAGGAGAGGATACGGCTGCAATGGCGACTCAAATCGAATTTTCTGGCGAGGAGAGCTCGAGCTCGAGCGTTCTCACGTTTTTTTTTTTTTTTTTTTTTTTCTGTTTTCGATTTTTTTTTTTCATTTCACAAAATTAATTAATTAAAATGAGGGAAAAAGAAAAAGAAAGGGTAAAATCGTCAGATCACATTTCATTAATTGGGAAGGGGATATGTAGACATAAAAAGGATATAAGAGGTTTATGATTTACAAAAGGGGAGTTATGAGACATTTTCTCGTTTACGGGCGTCTTCGTAGGGCGGAATTCGATTCCTTGAATGATCAAACCACTTTTCCAATAAGGAGACTTAATCTCAACAACACTTACTTCAACATGATCATCACAACTTATTTCATTGAAAAATTCACCAAGCTCAGCTTCCATCCATCCATCTTCTCTTTCCTCTGGTCTCGTTACGTCGCTCATTTCTCTCCCACACCTTTGATCCATAGGCCCAACAAAGCGTATGAATCTTTGAAAAAGTTCTTGTCCCACCAATCCGACTTTAACTTTTATTGGTAAATCCCCCAATCCGGGACATTGATCTTTTGGCTTGAACACAATGTAAACAGAGTAATGAGTTCCAGGAGATAGGTAACGAGTACTCATTCTACCACGAACCTCAAACCAGCACACGTTGAGAAGCTTTGGTACTTCTTCAAACCTGCGTGCAACATATTTCGTCGTCGTCATCATCATGATCATCAGAACGAGAGTGATTATAATCAAATAAAATGGAAAAAAAAAAGTACCTAGCTTCAGAAATTGAAATCCATCGCCAATACTGAGGACTACTAACCCATGTGATCCACATTTCCTTTGGAGATAACATGATACACCTTTTCCCACTCGTTTTCTCTAACCAGAAGCTCTTTGGTTTTTGGAAAAATAAAAACAAATAAATCAAAATAGTTCGGGAAAAATTGAATTAACATTCGAGATTGAGTATCCATGAATTATAACTTCACAATCACACCATTGCTTGATGAAGACCAATTTGATGACGTGGAAATTATCAGAGTACCTGCTCAAAACGACAACGTTCTGCAGAAGAACAAGCAGTTACTCTGATAGAAATGTAATGATGTCTAAACATATGAGAAGTTTTTCTCATTTTCCTTAGAAATAGGAGTAACTTCCATACTTTTTCACTATATCTGGCTTGTCTATTTAAGAAGATGAAAAACCAAGGAATAAAACAGCTAATTATCTTAAGAATTGATTTTGTCTTAAGACTTTTGATTGGGGCCTATTATTGCTCCATTGTAACTATAAGATTCTCCAATCCTAATATTAATTAAAAAAACTTATGCTACATATATATTATACCTTTTTGCCGTCTTCGATTAGAAGAGGTTCGTGGCAGAGAGAGAAATAGAGATCCTTCTTGGACAAGAAAACTCGCGATTGAGGAACCAAAGAGGAATAATCCGGCGGAAGAAACTTCTCCCATACGGTATCGGATTGGACAGCCGATTCAAAGGTTTTCGAAACAGAAGCTGCAACACACGCGTCTCGTGGAGTTGTAAAAGAGATTATGTTGGAGATGCAATCCTCTGGCAAGTAATCGAATGGTGACGGCCTGGGAACATCGATCCCTCCTCCGCATCCGCTGCTAGATTTAATGTCATGCGTATTCTCCATCGGTTCCTTAATGAAATTGTCTGCGTTTGAAAGACCTTATAGACTCGTGAGTTCTGACCCGATGATGAAGAAGTAGTCTTGGGCTCTTTGCTAATACATTGGATTATTCTGAGTACGCCACACATATATCATATGCTTTTGAGTGTTGCTGCAAATGATTTGACTTCGTAAAATAACATATATCCTTGTGCAACTTGGTGTTTTTTCTTTGTCATATAGAAATTGGACTACTCTTAAACATGGATGTTTTCCAACATATCGACTTCACAATCTACATTTTCCCCAAAGTTTTGTGTTTTTCACGTTCTGCATGTTTTTTACTGAATTACTTTTTGTTTAAGTTTATAAAAACCTAGCTTCCTCTTGGCTTTGGTTTGAAAAACTCCAACTCACAAACCAACCCTTAACATGTACGGACATAAGAAATGAACTTATTAAACAGATGGTTGAAAATGTAATATTAGAAATCTTCTACATAAATAAATGGTCAATCATGTAAAAAAAGAAAAAGAAAAAGAAAGAGTGTTCTATAAATAGGCAATTGATTCTCTTTCTTAAAACAGTTCTTTAATTATTGTATATTCCTATACGTAGTTCTATTTATAATGACATATATAGTTTAATCAGTTTTATAAAACCGCTTATCACCACCAACAGAAACCTTTATCCGACGGTCTGTTTTAACCATATTATTTATTCACTAACCATATTATTTCATAGCAATACGAAATCTACAAAATCAACAAAACTATTGTAGATGATCTAGTTCCTCCCCTTTTTCTTTTCGAATTTACTCATGTGTGAAAAAAGAACATCGATCAAAATAAAATTTAAACAACACAATACTAACAAAATGACTCTTCCCACAAGAGCAACATAAAATTTTTAACTTGCTTCTTAGACAAGAAACATGTGATAACAAAATAATAACCGGAAAATCATCGAACCTGTTTTCCACAACGGTAAACCGGTATTACTGTTTAGCAGGTCGGAATTCAATTCCTTGAATGACTAATCCACGCTTCCAATAAGGTGACGTAATATCTACAATACTTAGCTCAATTTCATCACAACCCAAAGATAATCCTCCTTCATTGAAAAATTCTCCAATTCCTGCTTCTATCCATCCATCTTCTCTCTCATGTGATTTTATTAGCTCTCTCCTTGCCCACTTTTTAATTCTATCCGTAGACTCATCAAAGCATATGAATCTTTTAGGAGGCTTTTGTCCGACCAATCCAATTCCAACTTGTATGGGCAAATCACGGAAGCCGTAACATCCAGTTCTTGACTTGTACACTACGTAAGCCGAGTAATGAGTTCTCGGAGATAGGATCTGAGTATTCATCCAACCATGGATCTCGAAAGCACATACATCAAGAAGCTCCGGTACTTTCTCAAACCTACATATATAACACATTATTTTTCCATCATGATTATGATACATCACTATAAATCATGTGTGTGTCATTTATTTTCTTATTTTATTCTGTTATGAGAGTTGGATTTACTATCCAAATCTTAACATGAAATGTAATTTCCGATTTAACAGAAAAAGGAGTACCTAGATTCAGGGATTGAAATCCATTGCCAATACTGAGGACTATTTCCCCATGTGATCACGAGTTGCTTTGGAGATAACATGAGACATCTCTTCGCACTCGCTTTTTCTAACCAGAAACTCTATGATTTTTCAAAATAAAAATGCTCATTTAATGAAAAATATTCGTAGACATCACGAATTTTAAACTAAAAAATCATTAGGTATACCTTTTGGCCATCTTCTATTAGAATAGGGACTTGGCATAGAGAAAAATAGAGCTCCTTCTTTGACAAGAAAACTCGCCATTCATGAATCAAAGATGCATATTCCGTCGGAAGAAACTTCTCCCATACACTATCTGACTGGACCGTTAATCTTAAGGTTCTAGAAACCGAAGCGGCAATGCATGCGTCCCGGGGACTTGTAAGAGAGATTATATTAGAAACACAGTCCTCCGGTAACTCATCGAAAGGGGATAAACGAGAAACAATCTCTTCTATGCCTTTGCCTCTAGAATCAAAGCCGAGTTTTTGCCCCATTGACGAACCACCGGAAACATCTTTTTCCCATCGCTGCATCTATCTGTACTATCAAGGGAAGTTGAGAAATCTCAAGACTTAGTACATTTTATGACTTGTCTTAAAGTCGTCTCTTTTATATAAAAGACCGTCCTAAAGTGACAAAGTCGTCCTCATATATTCACAACAATGAGAACGCACGTCTTTCCTCACAACTCATATTCTTCAGTTGGTCTAGGTTTGGAACATTTATTAACACACACAAAAATATCTTACCCCATCGTTTATAATGTGATCCCCGGTAGAAACTTACTAGTCTACAAAATTTGTTTTTGTAGATGGTCAAAGTACATTCTTTCTTTTTATTGAATTTGTTCATGAGAGAATGTTAAAACATCAAAATCAAAAATTCAAAATCACAAAAGTTACGAATAAAACAAACATTACATTCATGTAAACCAGTGTTCTCGCCATTTCATTACCGGATTTTCGCAGGACGGATTTCAATTCCTTGGATGATCAAGCCATACTTCCCATTGAGCCGCTTAGTCTCTAAAGCACCCATCTCAATTTCCTCACTGTTCATTAGTCCTCCTTCATTGAAGAATTCCCCAAGCTCAATCTCCATCCACCCATCTTCTCTCTCCTCTGGTTTCACTAGGGGCCTCATTCCTCTCTCTCCCCTTTGAAATTCCCCATCTATAGCCTCATCAAAGCATATATATCTTCTAGAAGCTTCTTGTCCCACCATTCCAACTACAGCTTCTATGGCCTCATCCTTAAAGCCATAACATTGATCCGCTTTCTTGAACACCATGTAAGCCGAGTAATGAGTTTTTGGAGATAGGACTCGAGTATTTGTCTTGCCACGAACATCGAACCAACAAACCTGGAGAAGCTCCGCAACTTTTTCAAACCTACATAATTGAGGCAAAGAAAACAAAAATAACCTAGGGCACATTATACAACCGCATTAATGCAAAGATAATGAAAAAGGGTACCTAGATTCAGGGATTGAAATCCATTGCCAATAGCGAGGATCATCTCCCCATGCGATTGAGAAGTTCATCGCTGATAACATGATACACCTCTTCCCACTCTTTCTCTAACCATACACTCTTTGATTTCCGGAAAAATATCCCAAATAATCATATGAATACTTGATAGCAGCACTATTCTCAAATGGTTTAAAACTTCAAAGTTACATACAAGTTGCTCCCAAAATAGCAGAAATTTTCTGAAATAATCGTGTTTTTGTTTTGTAGTCATAATTCTCTAGCAGAGGTTACAATTTGAAGAAGACAGACATGTCATTATTCTCAAATGTTATAAAAAAAATGTGCAACAACTAATGTATATGATCATAGATAGGTAGAAATACCGTTTTGCCATCGTCGATCAGAAAAGGATAGTATCAGAGAGCGCAATAGAGTTCCTTGTTTGACAAGAAAATTGGCGATGGATGAACCAGAGATTCAAACTCTGCCGGAAGAAACTTTTCCCATACGATATTTGACTTGGCCGCGATTCAAAGGTTTTTGAAACCGAAGTGACGATGCATGCGTCTAGAGGACTTGTGAAAGAGATTATGTTAGAGATGCAGTCCACTGGCAAGGAATCGAACGGCGACGACTCTGAAACGCTATCTCCCATCGGTTATGAAAGAGATTATGTCTTTGTTCGGAAGCTTAGAGACGTGCAAGACTATTCTTAACTCTTAAGGGATACGTCGTTCTACGAATTTACGAAGATGCCCCATAGCCACTTGTCTTTTCTTTTTTTTTTTTTTTCATCTGAGATTGATTAAAAGAGACATCTCTGAAACTTATCCAGCAAAAAATGTTAAAATCCAGAGAGAGAAGAAGATACTTTTGGAATAAAATCCTAAAAAACACAAATCAAAACCGCAAAACCTAATTTTTTTATCATCCGCTTACTTACTCCCGACTTGATGAGCCTTTCTTTGAGGTTTTGGAACCATCTCTTAATCTGCATTTTGGTGAGATTTGATAAGGATTATATTGCGTATTATTTTGGATTTCGCAGGATTAATCTGCATTTTTCGGAGATGGAGGGTTTTTTTTGCACAAAACCCTTTTACTAACGTTGATTAAAACCAGATTCGTCGCGAATTAGCGAAAAAGAGCTCCTTCTTCGATGAGAAATCTTGCGATTGAGAACGCAAAGATTCATACTCGGGTGGAATAATAAACTTCTCCCACACAATATCGGTTTGGACAGTAGATTCAAATTAAGGTTTTCGAAACCAAAGCCAAAACGCACGCGTCTTGAGGACTTGTAGATTATGAGGGAGATACATTCTTCCGGTAAATCATCTAAAGACAACGGCTCAGTAACGCCGTGACTTTTGTCGGAAGCTGAGAGTCTAAGAGTCTTCTTAAGTCGTTGTACCAATTTACGAAAATGCTCATGCATGCATGAACCTTGTTTTGGTCATTATAGTGATCTCTCAAGATTCGTTGGTTAATTTTTAATTTTTTGGTTTGTAAAAATTCTAACAAACAAACCCAAATTATAAAAAGAGTCGTCAAGTAAGGTAGGCGTTGTGGATGAAATAACCGTGTTACGGTTGGCAATAATAGTCCCGTTTTTATTATATAGTCTTGACTCGTTAATTAAGCTAGCAATTAGATGAAGAAAAAAATGAAAAAGTGAAAGCAACTCTTCTTTTTCTCTATATGAATTTCCTAGGAAAAAACACAACACGTTTTGGTATTTTGAACCATATTCTCATTCATCACAGAAACAATTAACAATTTACATCATCGACAGCATCAATATTTTTCCGCGTTTAATCATCAAAACGAGCCATTACAACTGAATAACTAACACCCATAAATCATAAAAATGTAAATATTTTTCGTAAACATATAAACACATAAACTCTCCCGGTTCATTACCAAAAAAAAAAAAAAAAACACATAAACTTTGCTAAGAATGTAAATATTTTATAAAAATGAAAACATATAAGGTTTACAATCAATGATTTCAACCTAGACAAATGGTCCCATGACAAAAAAGATAAATACATGGAAGCATAAAATAACCGCAATTTTCGGGTCATTACTGGATATTCGCAAGACGGATTTCAATTCCTCCAATGATCAAGCCACGTTTCCAATGGCGCTGCTTATTCTCTAAAGCAACCATCTCAATTTCATCATAGTTCAATAATCCTCCTTCATTGAAGAACTCCCCAAGCTTTATCTCCATCCACCCATCTTTTCTCCTCTCTGGTTTCACTAGGTTCTTTCCCCTGTCTCTCCATCGAAACTGCTCATCGGTAGCCTCATCAAAGCATACATATCTTGGACAAGACTCTTCTAAATCCTGTCCCACCAATCCTACTACAACTTCTACAGCCACATTCTCAAAGCCATAACATATATCCTTTTTCCTGAACACAATGTAAGCCGAGTAACGAGTTCTTGGAGATAGGTTGCAACTATTTATTCTGCCACGAATCTCAAACAAACATACTCCAAGTAGCTCCGCTACTGTTTCAAACCTGTATGAGGTATGTTAACATTTTTTAGCGACATCATTATATCCAAGCGAGTCATTAAAACCATGAACAAAGGGATACCTAGCTTGAGGATCTGGAATCCATTGCCAACTCTGAGGATAATTTCCCCAAGTGATTGAGAGGTACATCTCTGATAACATGATACACCTCTTTGCATTCGCTTTTTCTATCCATAGAAACTTCGATTTTCGAAAGGAAAAAAACCCAAATGATCATAAAAATTCAAAGTTAATTATACCCCAAATTTCTTTAAAAAATATAGCAGAAATGTTCTCATTTAAGCTTAAATCACATCATTTTTGTCATAATTCTCTAACTAAACTCGATGATAATTAGATATACCTTTTTGCCATCGTCGATTAGAACAGATTCGTCGCAAAGAGCGAAATAGAGCTCCTTCTTCGATGAGAAATCTCGGGATTGAGAAATCAAAGATTCATACTCTGGCGGAATAAACTTCTCCCATACAATATCTGACTTGACCGCCGATTCAAAGGTTTTCGAAACGGAAGCAAGGACGCACGCATCTAGAGGACTTGTGAAAGAGATTATGATGGAGATACATTCTTCCGGTAAGTCATCCAAAGACAACGTAGCAGCAACGCCGTGACTTTTGTCGGAAGCTGAGAGTGTAAGAGTCTTCTTAAGTCGTTGTACCAATTTACGAAAATGCTCATGCATGAACTTTGTTTTGGTCATTATAGTCTCTCAGGATTCGTTGGTTTTGGATCTTTTGGTTTGGAAAATTCTAACAAACAAATCCAAATTATAAAGACTCAAGTAAGGTTCTCACCAAAAAAAAGAGAGTCAAGTAAGGTGGGCGTTGTAGAATTTAACCGCGTTACGGTGGCAATAATGTCATTGTTTTATATTACAGTGTTGACTCGTTACGCTAAATCACTAACAGTTAGAAAAATTAAACTAAAAAAAGGAAAAGCACGAAACACGTTTGGGTATTTTGAAACCATATCATCACATAAACAATTGACAATAATATCTCCATCCACCTATCTTCCCTTCCGGTTTCCTCCTTAGAAACTGCCCGATCAAAGCATACGAATCCACCAGTCTAACTTCAGTTTATATGGGGACATCCCAAATCCAGAAATATAATCCAATTTCCTAAACACTAAGTTTGAGTGACGAATTTTCGGTGATAGAATACGAGGATTCATCTTGTCTCGAATCGGAAACCAATTTACATCAAACCCACGAAAACATGGGCATCATTTTCCGGCGTTGATCATCAAATGAGTCGAATTAACTACTACCAGTGACAAACAAAAACAAAAACCTAAATTAAGGAATCGGATAACATTTCCCAAAATGAGAATGATATATGGAAAAATTCCTAGGTCTAACAACAATAATATGATACACCTTTTTGCTTGCTTTGTCTAACCAGAAGCTCTTTAACTTTCAAAAGAAAAAAAAAAGAGCTAAAAAATTAGAAATATTTACTCAGATATTAACCAAAAGTTCGAATATTACTAGAATATCATATATTTTCTAAAAATTACTCATATGTTTTGAGCATTTGTGTAATTACAATTAACACCCTTCATTAGTTTTTTTTAATTAATAATTTTTAATTCGTTTTTAATTAAAAATAATAAATAAAAATTTGATTATCCATGTCATTAATCCACATCACCAATCTCACACTCCTCAAACTCACGTTATTTCTCCTCTTCTCTTTTTTGTCTCCAAATCCAAGAAAAGCTTTTAGATCATTTCTCCTCTTCTCTTTTTTTGTCTCCAAATCCAAGAAAAGCTTTTAGATCTAATAATCTGGAACTAACTTGGGTACAACATTGACAGAGATCTTCAAATTGCAGGATTGGGCTGGATCTTCCTAGACCTCACAGCCACAACGCTTGCCATAGGGTCCCAAATCAAAAGCTTCGTCAGATCTACTCGCAACCACGCTCACAAAAAAAGTCATCAAAAATCAAAACCCAAAACAAAGAGATCTATGGAATTCTACATGATTCGTTACAGGTTTGAGTTGAAATCAAGAATAGCTACTCTTTTACTTTGATTTTACATGTCTATCGTTTAATCTTCCTCTCAATCGATCTATTTGGAGACATTTCTACTTCTATCTATGTTTTGATTCATACGGTTTAGTCTTCCTCCTATGTATCCCTCAAACATATATATTTTTACGAATCTTAATTTGATTGTTGTTATTTAACCAATAAATTTCATATTATCTTCTCCAAAAAAATGTTGCTTTCCGATCTGTATTATAAATCAGCCGTAAAGTGATGTAACTCAGCCGTAACGTGATGTAACTCAGCCGTAACATATAATTTACACAACCTTTCGTCTTCCCTGAATGATAACTCAGTCGTGACATGTAATTTACCGAACCTTTCGTCTTCCCTGAAGCATATAACTCACCCGTAACATATAATTTACACCCATCTATCGTCTTCCCTGGAGAATATAACTCAGCCGTGACATGTAAATTTACCGAACCTTTCGTCTTCCCTTAAACATATAACTCAGCCGTAATGTAATTTTACCGAACCTTTCGTCTTCCCTGGAACATATAACTCAGCTGTGACATGTAAATTGACCAAACTTTTCGTCTTTCCTTAAGCATATAACTCAGCCGTAATGTATTTTACCGAACCTTTCGTCTTCCTTGGAACATATAACTCAGCCGTGACATGTAAATTGACCGAACCTTTCGTCTTCCCTTAAGCATATAACTCAGCCGTGACATGTAAATTTGCAGCGAAACAATAAGAGACGCAACATTTCCTCTAACTTTATCATCGAGCACCAACTTCACAAGTTTTTCGTGCGTTGTTTTCGCATCTATCTGCACAACTCTACACCCTCTTTCATCGGTGTTAAATACGTATTTGTATTTTTATACCCAATTACCGGAACCGGATCAACCATATCGGGAGAAGGATGAAAGAAATTGAAGAAGAATGAGGAAGACGATGAGGAATTGGAAGTTCCGGTGATGTGATAAACTCAGGTGAAGAAGACGAGTTGAAAAAATTTGACCCTATTTTTTTGTCCTTTGATGATGATGACATGGAATGATGACATGGAATGTTGCATCCACGTTATTTTTTAATTGATGAAGTGGCAAGTAAGCCACCAAACGAAAATGTAAATCAGCTTAATTAAACCAGCCATCAAACAAAACTTTAACTCAGCCGCAACATGAATACTATTACAGTAATTAAAAAACAAAAAAAACGGCAGCCAAATTCAGCCGTTTACTGTCGTAACTCAACCAAAAATATTTAACTCAGTCGTGTCGTTTAATAAGTCGGCCGTCATTGCATGCTATTCTAGTAATTAATCTTTCGCTACTAAGTCAGCCATAATAAGGCCGAGTTTTCCGTTAATCCAGCTCATTACGGCTGATTTATGATACTCGAACATAAATCAGCCGTAACGTCATCCCATAACTAAGCCGTCTTTGATAACTCAGCCAGCCGGAGAAAGTTAAGTCAGCCGTGTCGAAGCAATAACTCAGCCAAAAATTTGACAAATCAACCATCGGGTGAAAACTCAGCCGTAACTTAGGCTGGGTTATGCTCGAAAGTCAGCCATTTTATCATAACTCAGAAAGATTTCAGTAAGTCAGCCGTAACTCCAGGCTGGGTTATACTCGTAAGTCAGCCGTTTGCTCATAACTCAGCCATTTTTCTTAAATCAGCCGCAACATACCGTAACTCAGCCGTCACTGCCGCTATATCGCTCGACGGCTGAGTTCATTAATACACGTCAGCGATTTCTGACGTGGCGACGTGGCGACGCGGCTTTGCTGACGTGGCAGTGGCATTCTTTGTAATTACGTTTTTTCTTGTAACGTTTAACAGGGGCACGCTGAGTATAAAAAATATACCCGAAATATGATAGTAATAAAAAAAAGATCTGTATGTATCTGGTAATTTCATATAAAATGTCATACATCTGAGTAAAGTTCCCAAAAAATTATCATAAATTTTCAATCTCTAGAACTAAAGCTTTCTTTTGGCCTAACAAGCGACGACCCGAAAACTCCTCGAGGATTTTCGTAGGACGGATTTCAATTCCTAGAATGACCAAACCACGCTTCTGCTGGGGGCATTTACGCTCTAAAGTAGTCATCTCAATTTCATCACTATCCAATCCTCCTTCATTGAAGAATTCCCCAAGCTCTATCTCCATCCACCCATCTTCTCTCAACTCTGGTTTCACAACCACTTTCCCCTTTCGAAACTTCCCCTTCGCATGCGTATCAAAGCATATGAATCTTCTAAAAGAATCCTGTCCCACCACCCCAACTACAGCCTCTAAAGACACAGCCTTAAAGCCACAACAAGTATCCGCTTTCTTGAACACAATGTAGACCGAGTAACGAGTTCTTGGAGAAAGGACACGAGTATTCATTCTGCAATTGAACTTAAACTTACAAGCTTCGCGAAGCTGCGCTACTGTTTCAAACCTGCACATCACATGGCAACGTGTTGCAGCATTATCATAACAATCAGATTGAGTCAATACAACTGAATTAATACAAAGATAATGAAAAAAGGAGTAGTACTTACCTAGCTTCAGGAATTGGAATCCACTCGAAACGTTGAAAAATATCTCCCATGCTTGAGAAATTCATCATCGCAGTCGCAGAATACATTACACACCTCTTCCCACTCGCTTTCTCCAACCAAACGCTCTTCGGTTTTCGACAAAAATCCCAAATAAAGTTACTCACAAATAGCAGAGTTTTGTAGCCATAACTCTCTAGCAGAATTCAATAACTCTATATACCAATTGTAATTGCCAATAACTTCTACATTGCTAATTTGTAGTTCATGATTCTCAAATCGTATAAACAAAAAATAGGTTAGATTTTTTTACCAATTTGCCATCGTGGATTAGGAGAGGATCGTCGCAGAGAGAGAAATAGAGTTCCTTCTTCGATGAGAAAACTCGCGACGGAGGAATCAGAGATTCATAATCTGCCGGAAGAAACTTCTCCCATACGATATCTGATTTCATCGCCGATTCAAAGATCTTCGAAACCGTAGCAGCGACGCAAGCGTCTTCAGGACTTGTGAAAGAGATTATGTTTGAAATGCATCCCTCGGGCAACGAATCGAAAGAAGAAGAATCGATCTTTCTTCTGCTTTCGCTTCGATTTTTCTCAATCTGTGTACGTAGCCGTATCATCGTCTCCGTCGATTCTGATGCGAATTCTGACTTCTGAGACTCTTCTCTTCTTAAATCCTTGAACAAAATTACGAAAATACCCCTGATTTGTGAACAATGAGCGCGTCTACTTCCCGCTCCTTTGTTTTTTCGGATCATATTCTCAGATGGGCCTTGTACAATTGAGAAGCCCAAAGACAAAAGAGAGAGCCATTGATTTGGGCTTGCCGGCAAAGAAAGAACATCGGTACAAAGCCATAACAGTTATCCGAATTCTTGACACAAATGTAAGACCGAGTCAAGAATCTAGTATGAGTTTTGGTGATCAAGTAAGTACTACTTAGAAAGGTTAAGAAAGAAATAACACAAAGTGGAAAGCTCTAGAAAGGGACCAAGTCTCTAGCCGATAGAATATTCAATCTATAGAATTAACGATGCGTTTTGGCCTCACCAACAACAAACCGAAAACTCCTTTGCCTTTGGCTCTAGAGTGAACGGCGTGTTTTTGCCCCATTGACCTGTATCATCGTCTGCATCTATCTAGAAGCTGGGACTGTAAAAGACTTCTGACTCTCTCTGGAGTTCCTCTTATATATGCAATTCTTTGCATCAATGTGCATGTTTCGCAAAATTTCCATCTAGCAACTAGTAAAGTAAGTTGTTTACCACATAAACTCTAATGGAACCAATCATTACAACAAACACAACTGAATACACTTTTTATCAACTGGAATTTACCTCTTCACTCCACCATTTGACAATAACACCAATAGATGAGCAGTTTGATCGGAGTGTTTCGCCGCATTATTACTTTAAAGGACTTTTCGCAGGTCGGATTTCAATTCCTTGAATGATCAAGCCACCCCTCCAAGTGATACGCTTATTCTCTAAGGCACTCATCTCAATTTCATCACTATTCATCAATCCTCCTTCATTGAAGAATTCCCCAAGCTCTATCTCCATCCACCTATCTTCTCTCTCCTTTGGTTTCACAACGTCCCTCCTTCCACCGTCTCTCGTTATAAACTGCCCATTCATAGCTTTATCAAAACATATGAATCTTCTAGAAGGTTCATGTCCCACCATTCCAACTTCAGCTTCTACTGCCACATCCGCGAAGCCATAACATTGATCCGATTCCATGAACACAATGTAGACCGAGTAACGAGTTCTTGGAGATAGGACACGAGTATTCGTTCTGCCACGAATCTCTAACCTACAATCACCGATAAGCACCGGTACTTTTTCAAACCAAATCATAACGAGATTTAAGTATCAGCTTCCTGGTACTTTTTCAAACCTTCACATCACACGGCAACATTTTCCAGTATCATCATCATCATCATCATCATTCGAACGAGTCGATACAAATGAACTCACACAAAGATAATGAAAAATGGTACCTAGATTCAGGAATTGGAATCCATTGCCAATAGTGACGCTCCTCTCCCCATACCATTGAGAGATTCATAGCTGATAACATGATACATCTCTTCCCACTTGCTTTCTCTAACCAGATGCTCTTTTATTTCCGGAAAACAAAAATCACAAATAATCAGAGTTAATCATTAGTTAGAGCTTCAAAGTTAGACCAAATTGCTCCAAACTAGCCACAATTTTCTGATTTAACTCGATAATTCTATATACATTATTCTCAAATCCTATAAACAAAGTGCAAAATTGATGAACAGATATACATATTTACCTTTTTGCCATCATCGATTAGAAGAGGATCGTTACATAGAGCGAAATAGAGCTCCTTCTTCGATGAGAATTCCCGCGATCGAGGAACCAGAGATTCATAATCCGGCGGAATAAACTTCTCCCATACGAAATCTGATTTCACCGCCGATTCAAAGGTTTTCGAAATCGAAGCAGCGACGCATGCATCGCGTGGACTTGTGAAAGAGATTATGTTGGGGATGCATTCTTCGGGCAAGGAATCAAACGGCGAAGAATCCGATACTATCTCTCCTCCGCCTCCGCCGCTAGATTCGACGCTCTGTTTTTTCCCCATCGATGCTTTGTTGTTACTGTATCATCGTCTTCGTCGGAAGCTTAGAGTGTAAATTAGACTTCTTAAATCTTAAGCGTTTTATAAATTGACGATAATACCCTTAGTTACGAGCAATACGCGCGTCTCTTTCACGCTCCTTGTTTAGGTGTCACATTCCCTCAGATGGGCCGCGTACGATAGAGAAGCCCAAAGTTCTGTGGTCTTTTTCGGTAATGTCTCTCTATTACAAAAGGCAAAAGGGAAAGGAGAAAGAAACAGAGAGTTTTTGTGTCATTTCTTCATGAGAAAGCTTGTAAACTCTATTCGATTATGTGAAGATAATGTGGACAGCATTTACCGAAATGAGGATAATGTGGTGCCTCTATATATGGGATTCTTAAGTCTTCGACGAAGATAACATATTACACCTCTTTCAACTTGATTTCTCTAACCAAATGCTCTTTAATTTAAAAAAAAAGAGAGCTAAAAACAATACATATCTTAAATTTTTAAAAAAGAGAGCTAAAAAAAATTACATATCTTAAGTTTTCAATCTATAGAGATAACGCTGTGTTTTGGATCATCGTCTGCACCTGGAAGCTGAGATTTAAATAGAATTCTGACTATTTCTAAAGTCCTCTTATGCAATAAGGAAAATTATCAACTAACAAACTTAGGTCAGGATATAGAATCCAACATAGCCACTCTCGTATATCTAATTTTTTTTTTGACGAAAACTGTCAATAAAAGAATTGTAAGTGGTTTTTTTTGATGAACATTAACATCAAAAATCAAAATTCAGAAACATTACTATCCACAAACTAGAAGCCAAGATATACAACACAGTTGAACTTGGTTTGACATCTATGCTGAAACCAAAACATAACCCGAATCATCCAACCGTTCTTCCACAGCAGGAAGCCGGTTTACATATACATACCAACATCCTCCACTTAAAAGAACAAGGTTGGAGCTTAACTTTTGTTGATCACCACATAAAACCTAACATAACCAATCAATACAGCAAACACAACTGAATATACTTTTATCAATTGGAATTTACCTCTTCAGTCTTCACTCCACCAATAATACCAATAGGCGAGCCGATAATCGTGTTGTTCTGCCGCATTACTTTAGAGGATTTTGGCAGGGCGGATTTCAATTCCTTGAATGATCAAGCCACACTTCCAATTGAGCAGCTTAGTCTCTAAAGCACTCATCTCAATTTCATCACTATTCATTATTCCTCCTTCAATGAAGAATTCCCCAAGCTCTATCTCCATCCACCCATCTTCTCTCTCCTTAGGTTTCACAAAGTTCCTCCTTCCCCCGTATCTCCTTATAGCTTCATCAAAGCATATAAATCTTCTAGAAGGTTCCTGTCCCACCACTCCAACTGCAGCTTCTATGGCCACATTCTGAAAGCCATAACATTCCACTTTCTTGAACACAATATAAGCCGAGTAACGAGTTCTTGGAGATAAGACACGAGCATTCGTTCTGCCACGAATCTCGAACCAACATACATCAACAAGCTTCGCTACTTTTTCAAACCTTCATAATACAGGGCAACAATTTTCCAGAATCAGTATCATCCCAACGAGTCATTACAACCAAACTACCGCAAAGACAATGAAAAAAAAAAAAAAAGTACCTAGATTCAGGAATTGGAATCCATTGCCAATAGTGAGGAGTATCTCCCCATATGATTGAGAGGTTCATCGCAGATATCATCAGACACCTCTTCCCACTCGCTTTCTCTAACCAGACGCTCTTTCATTTCCAAAAACAAAAATCCCAAAATAATCAGAATGATTCAATAGAAGCAAACTTCAAAATTCCTCCAAAATAGTGATAATTCTACATACAAATCTCAATTTGAAGGCGATGAGACAGATCATTATTCCCAAATCCTACAAACAGATCATTATTCATCAATTTTGCTACCTTTTTGTCATCGTCGATTAGAACAGGATCGTTACAGAGAGAGAAATAGAGTTCCTTCTTCGATGAGAAAGATCGCGATGGAGGAATCAGAGATTCATACTCCGCCGGAAGAAACTTCTCCCATATAATATCTGACTTCACCGCCGATTCAAACGTTTTCGAAACTGTAGCAGCGACGCACGCATCGCGTGGATTTGTGAAAGAGATTATGTTGGCGATGCAATCCTCCGGCAAGGAATCGAACGGCGACGACTCCGATGTAACGCTGCGTTTTCTCCCCATCGATGCTTGTGCCTGTATCTTCGTCTTCGTCGGAAGCTAGTGTAAAGACTCTTCGTAAAATGTCAAGTCCTTCTACGAATTTACGAAACTACCCCTAAGACTCTTTTTAAAATCTTTTAAGTCGTTCTACGTATTTACGAAAATACCCATGAATTGTGAACAAGACACGCGTCTACCTCACGCTGCATTGTTTTAGGATTCGTTGGTTAAGGATTTGGTTTGGAAAATATCCAAATTCCAAACTAACAAACCAATTATAATAAAGTCAAGTCAGGTAGGCTTTATGGTAGATCAACGGTGGGAATATTATTTTTAAAATTTTTATAATATAGTCTGACTCGTTATTCCAGAAAAGTAAAGCTTAAGCTAACCAAATAGAATACTAATCAATTTAAAAAATGATTAAAAAAAAAGTGAGAAAGCAAACAAAACTCTTCATTTGAATTTCCGAAACAGAAAAAAAGAAAAACATAAAACACGCTTGTGTATATTTTAAAGCAAACGACACTAAACCTGAAAAGGCAGACGTAAATCCGCCGCAACAACCCATTTTTTTCCGACGGCGTAACAATATCCGCCGCCGTAACGCCGTTGTTTTCTCCACGAAGCTTGATTAGGTTAGTGTGTGATTTGTGAGATTCGTTAAACCCTAGCTCGACTTTATAAATCCTGTGATTTTTGTTTTGTTTGATGATCTTTTGCTAGATTGAGAGATCTAAGTGATTTGATTACTCTAGTACTGTATTTGATTGTTTGATTTTAGATAGATTTTGAATTTTTCCCGTTTTTAGCCGTAATCGGAAATTTCTATGTTCGGAGAGTTTTGATTCTCTATGTAATTAACTTTACTCTTTCGTTATCGGTTCCTTGTATGTAATTTCCTTGTGTGTCTTTTAAGTTGCTGAAGTTTTTTCAATACTAAGATTTTTAAGCTAAGCATCTTTCATCTTTGTCGTCTCTTTGTGTATCTATTGATATAGATATGTTTCCATTATTATTGATCCGTTTTGGTTGGTTTCATGTAATAGAACAGTGATTTATTCTTGTTTTGATGGATTACAAAATGGTGATTTTGTGTCTCTGATATCGAATTTTGGTTCAATTTTGGCTTCAGTTTAGGTTTTGAACACTGATGTCAAACACATTGAAAGAGTCAAGAGAGGATAATACAGATTCTGTTGGTCAGATGAGGGAAGATAATGAGTATGTTCGGCTTGTTGTTGCTCATGAAGCCTCCGCAGCTGAAACCGTGTTGTCTCTATCGCAATCAGAGGTGCAGAGTAAGAAATTCATGTGGTGGTTGAAAGCTTTGGGGATATTTGCAGTTGCTCTCTTGCTTACGCTTGTTTTCGGCAAATGGGGGGTTCCGTTTGTATTCCAAAAGGTACTCACTTCTCAAGTTTTTAAAAACGATTATTTCCTTATAAATGATCTAGGTCACGAACTCTGGTCTTTGGATTGTAATAGTTTGTTTCAATTGTGAAGGTTCTCATTCCAATTTTGCAATGGGAAGCAACTGCATTTGGCCGTCCTATGCTCGCAATTGTCCTTGTTGTTTCCTTGGCTTTGTTTCCTGTGTTCTTGATACCTTCTGGTCCTTCCATGTGGTTAGCTGGGATGATTTTTGGTTATGGTCTCGGTTTTGTTATAATCATGGTTGGAACCACCATCGGCATGGTCCTTCCTTACCTAATCGGGCTAATGTTCCGTGATCGCCTCCATGTATGAACCCTTTACTTTCTCTTTTTCAAGTCATACTGCGATTTCTTACAAGATCACTAACTTTGTCCCACAATATGCAGCAATGGTTAAAAAGGTGGCCTCGTCAAGCTGCTGTTCTTAGACTAGCTGCAGAAGGAAGCTGGTTCCATCAGTTCAGAGTCGTGGCAATCTTTCGGGTTTCCCCATTTCCTTACACGATTTTTAACTACGCAATTGTTGTGACAAGCATGAGATTCTGGCCTTACTTCTTCGGATCCATAGCAGGAATGATACCAGAAGCTTTCATCTACATTTACAGGTCAGTCTTACTCTCCCCGGATTAAAACAGTGAAAGATCATAAAAATCGAAAACCTAATTCTAAAACTGAATTCATATGCAGTGGTCGGTTGATCAGAACATTTGCAGATGTGCAATACGGACATCAACGTTTGACAACAGTGGAGATTGTGTACAATATAATCTCCTTGATCATTGCGGTTGTGACCACTGTTGCTTTCACTGTGTATGCGAAAAGAGCTTTGAGAGAGCTTCAAAACGCAGAAGCTAATGAAGATGAAGAAGTTCCGGTAAGAAAACCGGCAAGATTTGAGATGAAGAACGTTGTTCAACACGAAGAAGATAACCATCAGCGTATGCCTTAATCCGAAAGTTGACACAAAGCTATGGTAGGTTTTGTATAAAGCTTTGAACGTTGACATGTTCTTCAGCAGGAGTAGTAGTAAATAACAAAAGGGGTAAAAAAAAGTCTGATGTAGTAGGAAAGACTAGTCAAGATTGGATTTAAATTAGTGTGACTGATTCCAAGTATTGAAATAAATAAAACAAGCATTTAGGCTATAAATAGTGTATGAAAATCTGGATGCTCTATGTGATCTAGTAGTGTATTTTAATACTTATACCACATTTGTTGTCCAGGAGTTTGTAGTTTTGTTTTTAGGCATTACTTAAACCACATTTATACACTTTGATGTCGTGTCGCTTTAAGTCAACAATTGATTATAGTCTTCTCTATTTCACTAACTTAGCCATGAAACCAGGCTAAAATTTCTGGTTCAGTTTGATGTTATTAAACCAAATTGGATCACCAAATTTAACATTTACCGGTTATAATTTGACATTAGCATTGTATTTAGCTGTTAATATATGGGATTTGTTAATACAAAAAAAGCATTTTTAACTCTAAAATCAAACTCAAAACCAGTGAAAGGCCCTAATGTTTCTCTTGTTTTTGAGCATTTTCTGATGACTAAACTAAACTAGGCGTGTACGAAATTTCCAAACTGATATTCCTGAATCGTACCGAACCAAAATTCGGTCAGTTCAGTTTGATTTCGGTTACTAGTACAAAACCGATCGACAAAAAATAAATAAAATTCTAACCGAACCGAATTCCTATATCGGTTCAATTTGGAATAATTTTCTCCAACCCGAATAAACTGAAGTTCCGACCTGACCCGACCGGACCCAATGAAGACTGAAGTTTCCAAGTAAGTAAGGAATCCCAACAAATCTAAAATGTCGCATAAACTAAAAAAAGAAGAAGAAGAAGAAGAAGAACTTTGATGCGTTTCAATTCACAATTGCAAGTGAAGTGATTTTACTTTGACGCTAAAAGACAAAAAAAAAGAAGGAAAAAAAAAATGGTTTGGTTAGGTTTCTTCTCTAAACAAAACAAAGTAATCGGAGAAGAAGAAACACACAACAATCGCCGGAATCTGCGAAGAAGAAGAACAAATTCCTTACTGACTCATGGTTACTCACGAATCTCTTTCTATCTAGTAAGAGATTCCGTTTGATACTTATTGTTTTCGATTTTTATCAGGGGAAGTTGAAGCTCTACTCTTACTGGAGAAGCTCGTGCGCTCATCGCGTCCGTATCGCCCTCACTTTAAAAGGTCTCGCCAATGATTTTCTTCTTTTTGTGAGCAGCATTGTTGTTCTTTGATCTGAATTTGATCTTGTTCGATTTTCTTTAGGACTTGATTATGAATATATACCAGTGATTTTGCTCAAAGGGGATCAATTCGATCCAGGTTCGTAGTTTCTAGTTTTTGATTCGGATTCGAAGTTTATATTGAACTTGATTTGAAATAGTGCAGAAGAGGTTTGTTATGTCAAAAGTTTATCGTTTTGATCCTCAAGATTTCAAGAAGATCAATCCAATGGGCACTGTACCAGCGCTTGTTGATGGTGATGTTGTGATTAATGATTCTTTCGCAATAATAATGGTTAGTAGTAACACAGCCATTTAGTTTTTTTTTTTTGTTTCTTGTTGTGGTTTTGTGGATTAAAAGGAACAGTTCATCGATCTTTAGTCTTGTGTTTGTTTTTCAAATTGACAGTATCTGGATGATAAGTATCCTGAGCCACCGCTGTTACCAAGTGACCTCCATAAACGAGCCGTAAATTACCAGGTATTTTCGATCTTCTGTCTTCTGATGATGATGTTTTGCCATCATCTGAAAAACTATGTAGTTAATATTGTTAAGCTTCTGTTATGTGCCCAAGCAGATTGCGAGTGTGATCGTTCTTATTTTGTATATTTCAGGCGACGAGTATTGTCATGTCTGGTATACAACCTCATCAAAATATGGCTCTTTTTGTGAGAAGATGAGATTTATGTCATTTACTTAGATTCTACTGTTGGAGTTTCTAGATAAAGCAAACCTAGTTACATTTTTATCTTCTTTTTTTTTAACAGAGGTATCTCGAGGAAAAGATAAATGCCGAGGAGAAAACTGCTTGGATTACCAACGTTATCACAAAAGGATTCACAGGTTCGAGATCTCATATCTTCAACATTCAAAATGATAAGATACATAGATGTAATCAAGAACCAAGACATATGTTCAAAATGTTATTAGTTGATATTTTGGTTGAAAAGTCTTACTCATATCTCAGTTAAACATATCCATGCTTTATGCTTGGTACCATTTATCTCTTTGATGACAAAACTTATCATCAAGATTTAACGGGGTTAAGGTTTTTCCATTGATGAACGTAAAAAGTTTTAGATACAAAAGCTACCACCTACAACACAAAAGATGTTAACTGTTATTATTGCCTTGAACAGGTTTATATCGACATGTCTGATAATGTCTCATATGTCCTTCAGCTCTCGAGAATCTGTTGGTGAGTTGCGCTGGAAAATACGCAACTGGTGATGAAGTTTACTTGGTATGGCTCTAAACCTCCCTGGATTTTCTCTATGGTACTCTCTTCTTTACTACAATGAAGCATTGTTTTGCAGGCCGATCTTTTTCTAGCACCACAGATCCACGCAGCATTCAACAGATTCCAGATTAACATGGTACTTTTCCTCAACATTTTTTCAGGCCTAGATCTTGCAATATATAACCCCCAGATTCCATGGAATCCTAGATCAGTTTTATGGTAGCATGAACCATATGTTATCTCTGTCTCACACTTTCACATTCACAGAGTAACATAGATGAAATCCTCAAATTCTTAACTTTTTTTCCTCACATCACTCGGTTTCTACTTCTACAATGTTGTAAAACATGTTTTTTCTATTGTATAGGAACCATACCCGACTCTTGCAAAGTTTCACGAGTCGTACAACGAACTGCCTGCATTTCAAAATGCAGTCCCAGAAAACCAGCCAGATACTCCTTCCACCATCTGATTCTGCGAACCGTAAGCTTCTCTCAGCTCAATAAAAAAAAAAACCTCATACGTGACAACAACACAACAAAAATAATAAGAAAACCTTGTGTACTTATATGTATCATATGAACCAGTTTACAAATAATTTTCATTCCGAACATAAACATGTTGTAAATCATCAGAGAGATTCAGAGAAATGAAATAATGTGTTTCAAAAGTTTTAATATAAAGTTGGTATGTTTTATGAAAAATAAAATAAAAATGCATCTTTTTGACAAAAAACTAAAAAGACAAAAACAATTGCATTTGATTTACTTTGACCGTAAAAGACAAAAGAAAAAAAAAAATGGTCGTCGTCTCCGAATTCGCCACTTCTTCTCTACACAGAACAAAGTAATCACAAAAACACATAAAACAATCGCTAGAATCTACGACTGCGAAGAACAACAATTCCTTGTTTATCTATGGTTTAATTACAAAACTCTTTCTATGGTGATATATTAGATCATCGTCTCCACTTAATTTCCGCGTCATTTTTTTATTATTTTTTTTTCCGATTTGATCAGGCGAATTCCGGCGCTGAGAAGTTGAAGCTTTACTCTTACTGGAGAAGCTCGTGTGCTCATCGTGTCCGTATCGCCCTCGCTTTAAAAGGTCTCGCCAATGATTTTAGTTTCGGTTCTAGTCATTTTGTGAGCAAGAGTGTTGTTCTTGATCTGAATTTGGATCTTGTTTGATTGTTTTAGGGCTTGAGTATGAGTATATACCAGTGAATTTGATCAAGGGTGATCAATTCGATCCAGGTTCGTATTTTCTAGTTTTTGATTCGGATTCAAAGTTTATATTGAACTTGTTTTGAAAAAAGTGCAGAAGCTATATAGTTAGTAACTATGTTGATGAGAATGTTAATGAGGTGCTTATGAGTCATTTACTGATGATTTTGGGTTCTTGTGTTGAAAGTTTATCGTTTTGATCTTCAAGATTTCAAGAAGATCAATCCAATGGGTACTGTACCAGCGCTTGTTGATGGCGATGTCGTGATTAATGATTCTTTTGCCATCATAATGGTCCGTAACACAGCCTTTAGAGGGTTTTTTTTCTTGTTGTTTTGTGGATTAAATGAAACATTTCATCAATCTTGAGTTTGTGGTGTTTTGTATTGATAGTATCTGGATGAGAAGTATCCTGAGCCACCTCTGTTACCCCGTGACATCCATAAACGGGCTGTGAATTACCAGGTATTTCATTCTTCTGTTACTTCGGTCAAATCTTGGTTTCGTTCTTTGAATCATGCTTTGTGAACAATACCAGCTTAGATTGTCCTGCTTCACACTCTGATGCATTTTTATTTTGTATATTTCAGGCGATGAGTATTGTCCTGTCTGGCATACAACCTCATCAAAATCTGGCTGTTATTGTAAGGACATGATATTGATGTCAATTTCTTAGAAACTACTGTTGGAAGTTCTAGATAGAGTAAACTTAGTTACATTTTTTCCTTTTATACAGAGGTATATTGAGGAAAAGATAAATGCGGAGGAGAAGACTGCTTGGGTTAATAATGCTATCACAAAAGGATTTACAGGTATGAGATCTCTAATCTGCAACATTCTGTCATTGGCATAAGTGATAAGATACAGAGAAGTGATCAAGAACCAATACATATGTTAGTGTCTTTAGTATGATACTGTGGTTGGCGAGTGTGAAAGTCTTACTCAGATTTCAGTTAAAACATATCCATTCTTTATGCTTGGTATCATTCACTTGTTTTTGATGTACTTCTATTAATTGCTGCCTTGAAAAGGTTTATAGTGACCTATCTAATTATGTCTCGTTTCTCTTTCAGCTCTCGAGAAACTGTTGGTGAATTGCGCTGGGAAACATGCGACTGGTGATGAAATTTACCTGGTACTACTCTAAATTTCTCTGGATTTTCTCTATGGTACTATATCTTCGTAAGACTTAAGATTCAAGTCAGTGATTCTTTTGTGACTTAAGAATACTACCCTTTATTACAAACCAGTAAGTAGACAAGTGTTAAAGCCATGAAGCATTATTTTGCAGGCTGATCTCTTTCTAGCACCACAGATCCACGGAGCAATCAACAGATTCCAGATTAACATGGTACTTTTTCTTCTCTGAACTCTTCTTTCGTTACCCAACACTGTTTCAGGCTTAGATTTTTACGTACTATATTCCCCAATCCCTGGAATCCTAGATCAGTTTTATGGTAGCATAAATTTTTATGTTGTCTTTGTCTCACACAGATACAAAAATTTTGATATTGTATTAACGTAGACGAAATCTCAGTTTCTTAACTTCTCCTCGCATCACTCGGTTTCGGTTTCTACAATTTTGTAAAACATGTTTTTCTCTTTTATAGGAACCGTACCCAACTCTTGCAAAATGCTATGAATCATACAACGAACTGCCTGTGTTTCAAAATGCACTCCCGGAAAAGCAGCCAGATGCTCCTTCCACCATCTGATTCTGTGAACCCGTAAGCTACTCTCAGCTTAATTAAACCTCAGACAACAACAACAATAATAATACCTTGTACTCATACATGTATCATATAATAAACCAGTTTACTTCTTAGTTCTTCTACTTGTATCATACAATAAAGGTCACAGAGTTTGAAATTTGCAAAGATATCTTATACATTCTCAGAGGAAGCCTTTGTCTCTAAGACTCTGCACCGTCTCCTTAACCGCATCTTCAACAGCAGTGAAAACCAGCCCGAGCTCAATCAATCTCTTAGCCGCATCAATACACGACGTAAGCCCAGGTTGAGTCTCTTTATCAAACCTGTGAACAGCAAACTCAGGGAAGAGCTTGGACACAAGAGCAGCAAACTCACTGAACTGATAAATCCCATTAGTGCATAGAAACCGACCAGAAGCTTCCGGTGTTTCGAATAACATCACATGACCTTTAGCCACATCCCTCACATGTACCACACCAAGCCAGTGATGCTCTTGCGTCTCTGTCGAGCCTTGTAAGAGCTGTAGCAAAACGGCACAGCTTGCGTTTAGGTTCGGTTGCAGAAGCGGTCCGAGACATGTCGATGGATGGATCGTCACAATGTTGGTTCCATGCTTCTCCGAAAATTCCCAAGCTGCTTTCTCAGCTAATGTCTTCGAAATTGGATACCATTTCTAAAATCAAAATTACCAGTCGAAAATTAGTGAATTTTTTACTAATTTTTTAGGTTTTGAAAGTATTTTAATTATGTTAATGAACATGTAATAAGCAGACAAAACAACATAATAAGACAAGAGTTAAATACTTTAAACCGAAATTTAACGAACCTGCATAGACTTGCAAAAATCGAGATCTGTCCACGACGATTCATCGACGGGGACTCTTTCCGGCCAATTAGGGTTAGGAACCAAGGCGGAGATAGATGACGTGATCACCACGCGTCTCACATTAAACCTTTTGGCTGCTTCCAACACATTGATCGTTCCTTTTACCGCCGGTTCGACCAGTTCCTTCTCTGGATTAACCGGTGGATCCAACGTACAAGGTGACGCCACGTGGAACACTCCCGCACATCCATCAATAGCTCTGGAGATTGCATCGGAGTCTAAGAGATCCGCTTCAAAGATCTTGATCTTCGAATCGGATCCGGGTAGTTTCAGAAGATGAGTCGGGTCGGATCCTGGGTAAACCGAAGCGTGGATTTTTGTATAACCTTTCTCAATTAACGTTCGGATTATCCAAGATCCGATGAAACCATTAGCTCCGGTTACACACACTGTCTCTTTCGCCATTGTTGATCAAATAAGAGCTCACTGAGAATTTATTTTCTCTCTATCGCAATTTTCAATACATGTTTAAGATAAAAAAAAAACATTTTTCCGGTAAAAAAGGATCCTTTTTTTTTCCTTACTCGGAAAAAATGGATTTTTTTTTTCTTAAAGATATAAGGGAAAATTAGAAATAAAAGATAAATATTTAAGTATTTGTCCATATATGAATTCTATGAACAAATATCAACTATTCCTAAACTACCCCTTTCATAAGATTGAACCAATTGTTTCAAAAATAATTAAGAAAAATATGTATTAAAATGATAAAGAAGACATGAAGATATATAAAATGTCAAAAATATATTGTTTTGTTTTTGTTTTAGATGGATAAAATTTGATCTATAAAGTTTAGAATATGTCTTCTGAAATTAGAATGTATATTCTATACACTCTACATGTTCTACAAAATTTAGATTATGTATTCTACACACTCTACATGTTCTACAAAATTTAGAAATCATTTCTGTTCTACGGTATTTTGAATACTAGTTTCTACGACTTTTAGAATACATATTCTATACTTTGTTCTTTGTTCTACAAAAATTAGAATATGTTTTCTAACATTTACTCATGTTCTAAGAATGTTAGAAAACATATTCTTAAGATTTTTTTTTATTCAATAAAAATTAGAAAGTACATTCTATCTAATTTAGATTTAAAAAAAAATCTTAAAATATGGAAATTGAATATAGAGAATTTGATTACATCTGCAAACTACAGAAGTTGAATTCTGAATACTTTAAAATTCTTTATACCTAAGTGAATAAATTATAACACAAATTAGAATTTTTCTTTATACTTCACACTTTTTCCTATAGATTACACTTAATTTCTTGTCTCAAAACCCGGAAAATTATTTGAATTTTGAATACTTTAAAAAATTTTATACCTAAGTGATGAATAAATATAATACAAATTAGAATTTTTCTTTATACTTAACACTTTTTTCTTATAGATTACGCTTAATTTCTTGTTTCAAAACCCAGAAATTTATAGTTGCGCTCCATAAAGAAATTGAAATCAAGGGAGTGGGATAGAGAGAGAGATTGAAGAAGAAGAAGAAAAAAACAGTTATTTAATATGGCGTTATTAGAAAGGAGAGAACAATTACGAAAGCTTAACTTTGATGAGCAAGAGAATCAAAGAAGAAGAAAATATGAAATTATCTACGGCAAAACAAATAATGGAATGTAAATAAATGTTGATTTTGTCATATATTTTTTCCAAATTGTTTTTAGAAAGAAATCAATTTAATTTTGATTTTTTTTAATAGTTTAGTAAGATTTTAAAAGACTGGGGGCATATTAGGATTTTAATTATATGAAATCATATATGACCAATATTAAAGTATATATGACCACTCATGAATATAGAATGCATAGATGGGCAATAGTTTAATTATTTGTCCTTTATTTCCAATTTTCTCAAGATATAATGCGTTGATAAAAAAACATAACGTTGACATGATATTATCCACTAGTTTTATAGACTTTTCAAATTTTGGGTGACGAATTAAAAAAGAAGAAATGTTTTCAATTCTTCAGTAGTCAAATAGATGAAAACCGCCGGAGCGCCGCCGCATAGAGGTGGTTCCTCCGCCGCTTACTTTTACTGGTCTTCATCATCTTGCTCTTACGATAGCTGTAGAGTTTTGGTGGTGAAGATGGGAGGAAAAGGCAAGAAGCCTCATCAATCTTCTTCTTTTAAGGTCCACACATGATTACACATTTATGTAAAGGTTTCGTCTTTGAGAACCAGAAGTCTCTCTTTAATCGAAAATAGTTGATAATTCGAAGTGGGTTTTGTGATCAACTAATCCAACATTAAATTCATTGATTTGTGAATTCTGAAAGTGCCAATCTTTTTTTCTTGGTTTATGATCAATTTAATTCTTTTTAGAGTTCTAGTATCGGATTTATCGATATGATGGATGTCCATTGAGCATTTTGCAACAATTGATTTGATCTTTGTATGACCATTAAGTTCTTGGATTTGTATGGATTCTGATATTCTTCTCTGTTTGGTTCTTTTTAGATCTCTAGTAACGGAGTTATGGCTATGATGAATGTTCATTGACTATTTTGGAACCATTGATTTGATTTTGGTTTTTGATAGCAGGATTCAGAGCCAGAACCACCGAGAATCAAATCCAATGTTAAGCATAACTTGCAGCTTCTGAAGTTATGGAAGGCATGTAGTAGTGTGATCTTTTTGTTTCATTACCACGGTGTCTAAGTCTAACCATTAGTATTCAAGAATTTGTCTACGTTAAAATCTTTGGAATTGTATGATATATATGTAGGAGTTTCAGAGTAGAGGATCTGGCATGGCTAAGCCAGCGACTAGTTACAGGAAGAAGAAAGTAGAGAAAGACGAGTTACCGGATGATAGTGAGCTCTACCGGGATCCTACAAATACGCTTTACTAGTAATTACACTCTATTTTTAAGTTTCTCAATTTCAGAATCTTCATGTTGTTTGGAGAATGGTTTTTGAGGTTTGAAAGTTGAAGGAATGTTTGTGATTCCCTGAAAGCTGTTTTATAGCACGAACCAGGGTCTATTGGATGATGCAGTTCCGGTTTTGCTTGTTGATGGTTATAATGTGTGTGGATATTGGATGAAGTTAAAGAAACATTTCATGAAAGGAAGGCTTGACGTTGCTCGGCAGAAGTTAGTTGATGAACTTGTGTCATTCAGTATGGTTAAAGGTAAAAACTTTCAGAAGAATCAACATTTGATTTCATCGATGGCTCATTTCGGCTAATGCGACAATTTGATTTGAATTTGTTGTAGAGGTTAAGGTAGTGGTTGTGTTTGATGCTCTCATGTCTGGTCTCCCTACTCACAAGGAAGATTTTGCAGGGTACAGTCAATCGGCCTTTTTCCAGTCTTAATAGCTGTTTTCAATATCTTTATTTACTTTGACAACTCAAAAAGGTTTCTCCTTTTGGCCAGTGTTGATGTGATTTTCTCTGGAGAAACTTGCGCTGACGCTTGGATTGAAAAGGAGGCAAGGAAAAATGATCTCTTTACCCCAAAGGCTGTTCAAATAGACGGGTTTTCGAAAATAGTTGTTGATGTATCTTCATTTCTGATAAGATTCCTGATATTGGTAGGTGGTTGCGTTGAGAGAAGATGGATGCCCTAAGGTTTGGGTTGTAACATCTGATGTCTGTCAACAACAAGCAGCACATGGAGCGGTATTGCATATCATAACGATGTTTTAAACTTGTTATGCTCATATCTTGTTACTGATTTTGGTGACTAATTCTTGACAGGGAGCTTATATTTGGAGTAGCAAGGCACTGGTTTCTGAGGTATGATCACCAAAGCAATTGCCTTTATCTTTTTTTGTGATTTGAGAGTCATGTGATCTTGTGAAACATCATATTGTAGATCAAATCAATGCACAAGGAAGTAGAGAGAATGATGCAAGAAACAAGGTTACATTGGATTTTTCGCGTTTTTTAGTTCTGCGGTTGGTGGGGTTTTTGAAATCTGCGTTTGGAGCTAACCGAAAATCTCTGGACTACTTTTTCTCACATAGGTCAACATCTTTCCAAGGGAGATTGCTGAAACACAATCTTGATTCTGAAGTCGTGGATGCTCTTAAAGATCTAAGAGACAAATTATCAGAAAACGAGACAAAGAGATGACAGCAAGGCTTGGTCTCTCCATGTAACTTCTGTCCTAAGTAAGCTAATCTGACTTATAAAAAACAGAGGCTGCAGAGGAAACTAGAGAGATAGAGAGAGAGCTCAAAGGCTCTGTTAATGTTGTATTTGTGTCTGAATTCTTTTTGACTAATCTATAGATTCGTTTTCTTTAGTCCAAACATTTGGTTATGAGATGTTCCGAATTTTATTCTTAGCTTCATGCATAAAAATCACCTTAACCTATGTTTATTATGTTACAATAATGTACATATGTACCTTTTAGTTGAATAATGAACCAAATCGTTTTTCTCTTACATTATATTTATTTATGTATATAGTTTTTGGTTTATTTAATTATTTTTATGAAAAAAATTGAAATAAATACTTCGAAGTGGGAGCTAAAGACCAATCAAGACCCATAGAGAACAAGAGCTTTATTAAACAAAATCTTTGACGTGAAAGAAGCACGATAGTTTCAAAGACCTATAAAAGAACAAGAGCTTGACAAAACCAAATTTCTAGAAGAAATAAGCTCAGTTAACAACAAAATTATGACAAAAAGAAAATACATTAAATTGATAAAAAATAAGTAAAACATAAGCAAAACATATGAAAAAATAAAAATGCTAAGAAAACAAAAATTGTAGATAAAGATTAGATATTTCAAAAACGGTGGACATCGGCTGATGCAATGAGGTTCATATGATAGAAACAATGTCTGAACTACTCTGAGGCCTGAGCTAAGAGTTTTTCGCAATCGCAGGTTGTTTGACTGTTACACTAAGCGGCGGAAGGAGATTGGTCCGCCATTCTCGTCAGCCATTATCTCTTCTCTGTTAATCTCTGTGTTTCCGATTTCCGATTTCCGATTTATCTGTGATTTTAATTATGTTTGTCGGTTTGTGCTTTAATATGGGATTCAATGTCCGAACCACTCTGAAACCTGAGCTAAGAGTTTTTTCCAGTCGCAGGTAGTTACACTCCATGTCATTAGTTTATGGCAAATGTGACTATGATGTATCAAACTACATTTTGGTTTATATGATTTAGATCTAAAAGACAACAAATTATCAAAAAACTAAATGAAGAGATGAAAAAAATCCAGAGACGCAGTTGGATAATACTACGTCGGCTGAGACTCTGAGAGACCAGATACGGTAGCTCCGAATCCATAGTAGATAGTAGATATGACGGCGACGGAGAGGCAGGATATAGTAGCTCCGAATCTAGAGTAGATGGTGAATATGACGGCGACGGAAAGACAGGATATGGGAGCTCCGAATCCAGGGTAGATGGTGGATATGAAAGCGACAGAGAGGCTTTCATTATGTTTTTTATGTTAACCTATGTTTATTATGTTGTGAATGTGACCTTTTAATTGAATAATGGACAAAATCGTTTGGTTAGTGTAAATCATTTTTACTTTTTGTTTTCAAATTTTAATTATATAGTATTCCTTCTGTATCACTTTATGTGATGTTTTAGCAAAAAAAAAAAATTATTTCAATTATATATGAGAGATTCTGAAAACGATGCGTTTTAATTTAACCGTAATCCGTCCAATTTTCATGATAATATAGACGGAAATGGATTTACATTAACAGATTTAAATTAAAAGTTTTTTTTATTAAATATATAATTAAGGGGGTTATCAAACGATTCATTCTGTAATTGAGGGATTTTATTACTAAAAACCCTTTAATCCATTGCAAATTCTATAATTTTACCAACAATATTTAAAATATGATCTGGTTGAACTGATACAACTGCCATCAGAAAGAAATTTTGGCTATTGGTTGTTTCACTAGTTTGACGCCTTTTATTTTTTTGAATATGTTCTTTCATTTTTATTCATGTACAAACTAAATTTTAAAACACGTAGATAGATTATAATTTTAAGACAAAAAAACAAAAGAAGAACAAAAAATAAACCAAACAGAATAAGGAAATCTATATATATAATGGGAGGGTTTCTCTCCATCTAAAGTGTCCACATCAGCATTCATGTCATCATAATTTATTTTTTGTGGGCTCCACATATTTTATTTATTAAAACAAAAACATTAAAACTAAACTAATTCACACATTAAATAAAAATAATAATTGACAAAAATTACATGAAATATTATGAAAAACGAAAAAAATAAATATACAACTTAAAATATGAAATTTTTGAATAGATATTGAATATATATAAATTAGATCATTATATTTTAACATATAATGACTAAATATTTTAAAATAGTTAGAGATACGAAAAAAAAAAACTTATCATATATTTTAATGGTACAAAATTTATTTTTTAAGAGTTGCCATTCTTTAGTAGAGAAAAGGAAATAAGGGTTAAAAATACCAAATTTAAAGATTTTTACTTAAAATAGAAATCAATTCATTTCTAAAAAATAGACATTTAAAATTTGAGTACCGATTAAAAAATAAGAATAATTTAGAACATATTATTCTTTATAATTATAATATATAAGTAGTCAAATTAATAAATTTTCTATATTATAAATGTTTTCTAAATAAAAAAAGTGAATACCTAAAGAAGAAAAACTAAATATTAATCAGTGTTTTTAGGAAATTCACATAGATTGAAACAAACTAAGGGTGATTTGAAATAAAACTATCCTAAACATCACAAATAAAAATAAAATAATCTTATCGAATAATAAAACTGTGTAATAATAATATTTGAGAATGTTATTTGGAAATCTATATATAGTAATGGTAGATTGAAGAGTTTTTCATTAGAAATAAAAATGATTTTGTTTTGTTTTTCTAAATAAATGTATTTTAAAATTAGAATAATTTTTATGAGTTCGTAAGTGTCACATTTTATAAAAATCAACATAAAGAATACTATCTAAAATCATAATATATGTTAAATTATATATATAGAAAGAGATTTTTGTATTTTCCAAATGGTCAAGATAAAGTGCAAAATTTCACGTTGAAATTCTATGTTTGTGAATAGGAATGAGTCCATATATGAGATTTGTTTTCTATAAAGCAATTTTAGATGCACCATAACATGGTAAAAAAATATCTTATAACAAACATCTCCTCAGATTTCTTTTCTGATGTTCACTTTAATAAAAAGATCATGAAACTTATAAAAAAAATTGAGTATTGAATGATATGAAGGAGAAAATAGAAACGATCTAAGGAGAAAAGAGAATAGATGTCGGGAGACGACGAGTGAATCATAAAAGAAAACGAGAAAAATTGTAGTAAAAAATGTGAGAAACTTTTTACTACTTTGGAAAGATAATGCATATGAATTAAAGTAAAATCTTTTAAAATTCAATTGATTATATTTATAGTTTTATACTCAAAGAATAAAAGTTTACAATTAAATTCCGCGCAACGCGCGGGTACACCCTCTAGTTAATTTAAATAGGAGTGTTTACTCTTTATGCCAAATTATTGTCTATGACAAAAGGCATTACCAAATAAAAGAATTATATGACAAAAAAAAAAAACAATTTGGGCCAGGTCCAGATAGTAAGGATCCAATGGGTTTATTATTGGGGTTGATATAATGTTAAGGAGTAATACGTTATCGTTCAGCAATAAAAAAGAGTCAGCTTGGGCTTAAGTTCTATTAGCCTTACCGGGTTATCGGATCAAACCGCTCCATACTTTCAAATTGAAAGTTTCAATTCCACGCTGACAAAATTCAATTCAAGCAAATTACCGTCGCCGCCTTCTCGAATTCGTTCTACCGCCGGTTACTTGTCGCCGCCGGTTACTATTTGATGTAGGAAATGAGCATCAAATGAGAAGGCTACGTGGAGGACAAAGATTGGTCGAAGCGGGTGAGACACGTGGCAGAATAACATTGGTCGGAGCTGGAGAAAGTTGTTATGAAGACTCTTTAAAACGCAGTCTCTGGACTGGCAAAAAAAAAAAAAACGCAGTCTCTGCTTCTTTTCATTATTATGCAAAATCTGAGATTGTAATCTTCTTCTTCATTTAATTCTCTGTTGTTCCTGAGAATTCTATGTAATTCTCAAGCTCTTCCTCATCGTTTTGCTGGATCTCTCTTTGAGACTCTTGCAGATGAGAAGTGGTGTTGCGTTACTTGCGAACGTTGTATCCATTTATCCTTCTTTGTTTATTTGAAATCCATTTGATCTTCCTCACCCGATTTACGTTATCACTATTACTCGTTTATTCGTCGTCTTTCGATAGCTTAATCGTTCCTGTTTACTTTCCCAGAATTTTCTCGAATTGATTTTGATGGTGTTGCTCGGAAGAACTAAGTTATGATGAAACTCTTTGAATGAAACTCAAGCATTTGTGGAAAAGAACTTTGCTACTACAGTCTTTGAAGATTTTTAGGAAGCAACATGATTCTTTAAAGATGAATCTATGGCTATAATTCAAGCTGAACTTGGATGCCTACAAGGTGTTCGACAGAATGCTGGTGAGAGGCCATAGATTACAACAAAGGAGGAGGCTAATTTGGTTTGCTAAATCTTGGATGTTCATATACAGATATAGGAAGCAACCTCACGTCTGGTTACAAACTGCGCATAAACTGATTGTTGGAAGCAATATCAAGTACACACATCCATGTTCACAAGTGCTACAGTTTGATGGATGAAGAAGCAGAAACGAAAAACCATTTGCAGGGTACAGTCAATCGGCCTTTTACCGTCTTTATATTGTTTTCGATATCCTTATTACTTTATAAACTCAAAAAGGTTTCTCCTTTTGGCCAGTGTTGATGTTATTTTCTCAGGAGAAACTTGCGCTGACGCTTGGATTGAAAAGGAGGCAAGGAAAAGATCTCTTGACCCCAAAGGCAGTTCAAATATACTGGTTTTCTAGAATCATCTCTGATGTTTCTTAGTTTCTGATAAGATGCCTGATATTGATAGGTGGTTGCATTGAGAGAAGATGGATGCCCCAAGGTTTGGGTTGTAACATCTGATGTCTGTCAACAACAAGCAGCGCATGGAGCGGTATTGTGCATCATATCGATGTTCTAAACTTGTTATGCTCATATCTTGTTATTGATTTTGGTGACTAATTCTTGACAGGGAGCTTATATTTGGAGTAGCAAGGCACTGGTTTCTGAGGTATGATCATCAAAGCAATTGCTTATTTTCTATTTTTGTGATTTGAGTTTCACGTTATCTTGTGAAACATCATATTGTAGATCAAATCAATGCATAAGGAGGTTGAGAGAATGATGCAAGAAACAAGGTTACATTGGATTCTTCGCGATTTTTTAGTTCTGCGGTTGGTGGGGTTTTAAAATCTGCGCTTGGATCTAATTAACCGAAAAAATCTGGACTACTTTTAATTTACACAGGTCAACATCTTTCCAAGGGAGATTGCTGAAACACAATCTTGATTCTGAAGTCGTGGATGCTCTTAAAGATCTAAGAGACAAATTATCAGAAAACGAGACAAAGAGATGACAACAAGGACCAAGTAACTTCTGTCCTAAGTAAGCTAATGTGACTTATAAAAAACAGAGGCTGCAGAGGAAACTAGAGAGATAGAGAGAGAGAGCTCAAAGGCTTTGTTAATGTTGTATTTGTGTCTGAATTCTTTTTGACTAATCTATAGATTCGTTTTCTTTGGTCCAAACATTTGATTATGAGATGTTCCGAATTTTATTCTTAGCTTCATGCATAAAATTCATCTTAAACTATGTTTATTATGTTACAATAATGTAAATATGTACCTTTTAGTTGAATAATGAACCAAATCGTTTGGTCTGTGTAATCATCTTTAGTTTTTCTTGTAAATTTCAATTATAGTATAAGTAAATAATCCGAAAATTATTTTCGACATTGGTCTAAAAATCAACCGTTTGTGAATCTGTATAAGGTTCACTTACTAATAACCCCTCATTTACATGTATATAAGACCGAAATTATGTTTAACAATTTAATGTCCTCAACGACTCATAAGCATGTGATCCTTTCACAGATGGATCTGCTAAGCTACTCAACACTGATGATGGTTCATCTCTCAAACCTTTCTCCAACTGAAAGAAATTTACAAAAGGTTCCAAATTTATGAGCCAACAGATGATGGTTCCGTGGTAGAGGACTTTGCTAGTTAAATTTTTTGTTACTTGTCCTTTTATTTTATTTTATTTTCCACCTTTGTACTTAACCGAGTTTTTTGATTAATAATTTAATATTTCAGAAAACCACAAAATAAAACAAAAAAAAGATGAAAAAAAAACTCTGAAGTAAAACAAGTATAGACTTTGAGAAACTTCTACATGAAATTTAAACTTTTTTCTTCTTCTTGCTAGAAAATTAGTCAAAATTCAGTTTTTGCTATTCTATTAACAGACTCTCTTAAGGAACAACATTTTTTCTCTTACATTATATTTATTTATGTTTTTTTTTTTTGGTTTAGTTTAATTATTTTTATGAAAAGAAATTGAAATAAACACTTCGAAGTGGGAGCCAAAGACCAATCAAGACCCATAGAGAACAAGAGCTTTTTAATAAACAAAATCTTTGACGTGAAAGAAGCACGATAGTTTCAAATTAAAGACCTATAAAAGAACAAGAGCTTGATAAAACCAAATTTTTAGAAGAAAGAGGCTCAGTTAACAACAAAATTATGACAAAAAAGAAAATAAATTAATTTGATAAAAAATAAGCAAAACATAAACAAAGCATATGAAAAAATAAAAATGATAAGAAAACAAAAATTATAGATAAAGATTAGATATTTCAAAAACAGTGGACATTGGCTGTTACAATGAGGTTTATATGATAGAAACCATGTCCGAACAACTCTGAGGCCTGAGCTAAGAGTTTTTCGCAATTGCAGGTTGTTTGATTGTTACACTAAGCTGCAGAAGGAGATTGGTCAACGGCGGTGACGACTGAACGGCTCTGTTCTTTGGTCCATACTCTGTTTTTCGTGTTTTTTTTTATTATTTATTCAAGGAAAAAGAGTGACATACAGTGGTGAGTGAGAAGAGGGAGGGTAACAATGTTCAAGGTAGTTTAGTGTGGGGGAAGTCAAAGTCAGAAGTAAATTTTTCAGAGTTTCTAATTAACACATTTCCAATTTAAGAGCACATGTATAAAAATCAAATTAAAAAATTTAAGAGCACATGTAACTCCGTTAATAAACGTTTGAAAAATCCTCAAATATACGACGTCGTTTGTCAAAACTCAAGGAGAAAACAGAGCGAATGTTACAACATTTAATGGCGTTAATCTTCGTGTGTTTGCAAACTACTTTTCTAGTGAAGGCTTTTTTTTTTTTTTTTTACAGTAAAATAAAGTCATCCATTTAAGCTAAATATGTAACTTTTAGTTGAATAACGAACCAGATCGTTTGGTCAGTGTAATCATCTTTAGTTTTTCTTGACAAATTTCGACTATAGTATTAAGTAAATAATCCGAAAATTATTTTCACATTGGTCTAAAAATAAACCGTTTGTGATTTGTGAATACTGATGATTGTGCTAAGCTACTCAATACTGATGGTTCATTTCTCAAACCTTTCTCCAGCTGAAAGAAAATTACAAAGGTTCCAAATTTATGAGCCATGTCGGATTATAAAAGAATGTGACTATTTTTTTTCTTTTGTTTTGTTTTATTTTCCACTTATGTACATAACCGATTTTCTTGATTAATAAATTGAAAATTTTAACAAAAAATGAAAAACAAAGATGAAAAAAAATCTGAAACAAAACAAGTAAAGACTTTGAGAAACTTCTAACTGATTTTGTTTTTCTTTTTGCTAGTAGATTAGTTAGATTTCAGTTTTTGCTATTCTGTTAACAGACTTTCTTAAGGAATAACATTTTTTCTCTTACATTATATTTATTTCTGTATAGTTTTTGTTTTATTTTTTATTGATTTTATGAAAAAATTGAAATAAATAACACTTTGAAGTGGGAGCCAAAGACCAATGACAACAAGAGCTTTAATAAACAAAATATTTGACGAGAAAGAATCAGGATAGTTTCAAAGACCAATTAAGACCTATAAGAGAACAAGAGCTTGATAAAACCAAATTTTGTAGAAGGAAAAAGCTTAGGTAGCAAAAAAATTATGAGAAAAAGAAAATAAATAAAATTTATTAAAAAATAAACAAAACATAAGAAGAAAAACTAAAAGACAAAAACTTTAGATATAAATTTGAAATTTCTTTGTAAAAGGTGTTCGATGTGATATTCTTTGTAAAAGGTGTGAGTTGGCAGAGGAAACAATTAATCATGCTTTATTTGAGTGCACTCATTCTAAGAAAGTATGGGACTTATCCGATATACCTATGGTATCAGGTAGTTTTCCTCTAACCTCGGAATTCTCAAATCTAGATTATCTTTATTGGAGACTTCCATCTACTCTAGAAAGGGGAGAGAAAACATATAGTTATGCTTGGATTTTGTGGTTCATATGAAAAGATTGGAATAAAAAGGTATTCAAGGGATTACAATCTGAACCCACATATATTTTAAATCTTGCTTTGAGTGAAAAATTAATGTGGGAAGAAGCTCAGGTGGATCCGATCGAAACTAGTCCTATTACGGAAACTTTGGAACGCCCAGTTCTATCGATAAGATGTCGGTTTGATGGCTCTTGGAAAACTTCGGATCCAACTATGGGCTTAGGATGGTGTTGTTTTCAAGGAAATGATCAATCGATTTTGTTCGGTGCAATGTGCCTACGAAGGAGTCCTTCCCCCCTTCACTCGGAGATGGAAGCTTTAATTTGGGCTATGAAGAATATCCTTTCAAGAAGGATAGATTGTCAGGCGTTTGAAACAGATTGTTCGGAGTTAGTCTCGATGATACAGTCCCCTGACGAATGGCCCGCTTTCTCCAATCTGCTAGACGAGTTTGGTTTTCTCCGTGTCTCTTTCCCCTTCTTCTCGCTCTCTCTTATTCCCCGTTTATGTAATGTTAAAGCGGACTGCTTAGCCCGTTCTTCCAGACTTTTATTTTATGAAGTTTCTTTTGTAGACACTTATCCTCCTAATTGGGCAACCAATCAAGGAGTTCTTTATTAATTAATGTGTGGTTGACAAAAAAAAAAAAAAATTGAAATTTCAAAAACCAGGGACATTGGCTGATACAATGGAGGCTCGCTCAAATAATAGAGACCATGGTTTAGAAATCAGAAAATCATAACCAGGAGGGTCATAATTCGGAGCCTCATAACATAGAGTCGACGGCCTAGACGAGGGTGGTGACAGTGAGGATTATATGTTGGGCAGTTCGTTGAAACTTAGCCCTACTTGTTACCCAAATCCGAATTATGACAACTACTAAGAAATGCAGAGCAATAACAATCCATCATCTCAATCATATTTCGTCATTCGAGTTTTTCTTTTCTCAGACCTTATTCGCCTTTTGAATTGAGTGATGAACCGATCAGTCTTGGTATCCAAGTCTATGTGATCAGAATTGTCTGTGTTGAGGCTTACATCACTACATATCCAAGCGTAGTCACCTTGCATAAAGACCTTCCAAGGCTTCATCTTGAATGGCAGATGAAGGCATATCTGAAGTCGAAAGCAGATCAGAGTAGGCAGTTGACGAAAAAGAACAATGTTCCGGAGACGAGAATGCCAAAAGCGGAGATGACAATGGTAGAGTAGTGTCCACGAAAAGGACAAAAATGAAAAATGGAAGATCAAGCGCTTCCTCCTCCTCATCCAAATACTCCTCGCTAGGCTTGAAGAGATAACAATCAAATCATATTGGAACGATGTGAAAAACGAACAACTAAAAAATTTCTCCACGGAAATTAGGTAGAGAATCTCCTTGAACATAAACGTTGTTCAAGGACATGGTGTAGGTGGGCATCGTTGTTATAACTATTGCTATTTTTTTGTAGTTGGTAATTATAGTTATCATCACTTATTATTTTAATTTCGACATGTAATTTATAGTTTAGATATTCCTTATGTAAAACTCTATCTCTCTAAGTTAGATAACAAACAATAGAGTCGATTGTTTGTTATCTTGGGCCTGCGAGCCCCTTCGGCTTTTGCCTTGTATGTTGGGCCTGCGTGCCTGGTTCGGCTTTTGCCATGTATGTTGGGCCTGCGTGCCTTTTTTGGGCCTTTGGGTCTTGTAATTTGTTTCTTTTAATTAATGGAAATTAAAAAAAAAAAAAAAAAAAAACAATAGAGTCGATTTTTAATTCAAATTTTGGTTGAAAAAAAAACTATAGTTTTTGTATATGTTTTGCTTATTTTTTTTGTCAATTTCAACTTTTTATAAAAATATATAGAATAGTTATAACATATTGATAGAGTTTTACTTAGAAGAATTATCATTAAAATTATATATTAAAAAAAACTTAATTTTAGGTTCTGAAAATGTTTAATGTCACTACAATTTTGAAATATTTACAAATTTTGAATTCAAAAAACTTAAAACTTTATCACTAATTAAACACATTCACGAGTTTTTTTCAAACAAATTAGTCTTACATAAAGTTCGGATCGTCAGGGTGATAAACCAGTGTAAAGGGCAGATCAAGAAGCTCTTCATCTTCTTTATTACTCTAGAAAAGATATCCTACGACTCATGCCAAACAGAGAAGAATGACGACAACTCGAAATTGCTTCTCTACGAAACCTTCCAGAAAAGGTATGAATCAACGAAATCAAATTCAGGTAAGATAAAGAAGGTGGGCAACACTGAAACTGCAACTATGTAGTAGAGCTGCGTCGGGTAGAATCCGGCTAACCGACAGAAATGGATCTCGTCTCCCATCGTCGCTGATCTAACTTTTTAGATTTCTCTGATTTCATGATGTTTCGTTGTGTTAAGTGCTTCAAATTTGACACTTCAATGTTTGTTTCTACTTTGAGATATGCCTTAGGTTCCATCTCCTCTACTCCGTCCATGCTGAAACTAGTAATCTTTTTTATTAATTGAAATAAGTGTTTTCTCTGTGTCTTCCGGCAAGTTTCGGCGTTTTTCGGCGAGTTTCTGCTTTTTCTGGTGTCTTCTTTTGTGTTATTGTACCCAAAAAAAATCTGAGTGGCCATCGATTTTCTGATTGAACCTGACGTTTGAAAAAAGAATGTTGTTTTTTTGTTCATAGTAAAATCTCATTCTCAAAAAAAAAAAAAAATTAATTAATTAATATGTAACAGAACAATAATTGGGTTGAATTTGTAATTTATATAATTTACAAAGACACATATACATTTGAATAATTTGATAAAACTACATCCGTTTCTCAACATATGAGATTTGTGCAACGAATTTAAGCTTAATAATTCGAATTTTCTTTTGCCAACTAATAATTTAAGTCATATATGAAAACAAAATTTATAGTTTATAGTTAATAACAGAAAAGAATATCATTTTTTTTTTTAGATATCTTTTTCACATATGAGATAATATTATTAGGTTTAGATGTAATTCAAGGATTATGCATAATTATTTTGCTTTTTATTTATTTATTTGAAGATTTTTTTAATCATTTAATATATTGCAAATTTTATAATTTGACCAACAATATCTAAAATATGATCCAGTTTGTCTGGTTGAACTGATGCAATAACTGCCATTAGGTTTCTTTCACTAGTTTGATTTTTTTTTTTGTATATATTCTTTCCTTTTTATCAAGTTAAACTAAATTTTAACATAGACAAATTATACGACAAAAACGAAAGAAGAAGAAATAATAAACCAAACAGAATATGGAAATTAATTTAAATAGGAGTGTTTAGGCCCAATATGACCTAGACAAAAAAATCTTTTAACTATATTTGGCGAGGTTCAGTTAGTAGATCCAACTTAATAGTGGGGTTTTTATTGGGCTTCATATAATGATAAAGAGTAATATTGTAAACGACTCAGCAATAGGAAAGATTCGGATTGGGCTTAAGTCCTATTAGCCTTACCGCTCCATACTTTCAAATAGTTTATATTCCACTCTGACAAAATCAGTTCAAGCGATTACCGTCGCCGGCTTCTCGAATTTGTTCTACCGCCGGTTACTTGTCGCCTGTAACTATTACTCTATTATACATCACTACCTATCCACGCATAGTCTCCTTGCGTGAAAGACGAACAACTCAAAATTTTCTCAAAGAAAAGTAGCCAAAGAATCTCTTTGAACATAAACATTGTTCAAAGACATGGTATTGATAGGCATCGTTGTTATAACTATCTTTTTTGTTTTTTTGGTGTAGTTGGTAAATTTATAGTTATCATAACTTATAGTCATTTTAAAGTAAATGAATTTCCCAATTTTAATTCAATCTGTATATTAAAGACATTACGTTTTCTCTATAATTATAATGACTTATGCATCAAACATAAATGTAATATACTTGACAATAAATACACATGGAGAAAGAGGATGCTGAATAGAAACTCACAAAGAACTTATCAACAAATGGCCGTCCCATGCTTGGCTGTTATGTTCTCCCACATAAGTTTCAAAAGAAACCAAACTGATAAAAAAAAGAGAAAGCAAGCGAGTGAGATATTGCTACATAAAACATTGTTTTTTTTTGCAGAATGGGCTATACAAAAACGAAATTGCATATATAAAGAAGTAAATAAGAGATAAAAGAAGAATTGTAAAAAGCCTGAGAAAAAAAGATAGTACAAAATCTCTCCGTGAGAAAAAAAGAGTTAAAGAAAATCGTACTAAGCTGATGTGTCAATAAGATAGTGCATCAGTTTTTGATAAAGTGACTGTTGATTCGCTATTAGGCAGATAAGTTGTACATTTTCTTATATTTTTTTCTTAACCTCTTGTATATTCTTCAGTCATTGACAAACAAGTTGTTGTATATTTATGCTGTCATAATTATTTTAAAAGTCTTAGTTAAGAGTTGTAGCAAAATATAATTTAAAACAATGTTGTCCCTGCATATTAGAATAAAAGATTTGTACCGTTAATAGCAAAAGAACACAGGACTGAAAGATTTAACTTTTCAGTTATATATTTTTTTACAGAGGACTGAAAGAAAATTAAAAGAAAATCAATCATTTCTCCTGTTCATGTGATTATCAGTAATGACCAAAGATCTTTACTGTGTAAAATTGATAAATCGAATTTGAATATAAGGTAAAGAAATTGTGGTCGTTTTTAGTCAACATGGAGTACTATGAAGTAGTGGAGGAAATAAAGGAGGATAAAAATCATATGTTTAGGAATCAAAATCATAGAGATATTACCTCATGTGTATTAGGGAAGTAGATTGTGCAGATTAGGGAAGTAGATATCCTTTGTGATGTTTTCTGAGAATATATGAACTCGTCGAGAAAAACTTGGTTTTCTCTAGTGCATACCGGTATATATCTCTTGTGCTTGTATATATGGCTTGGTTATCTTTCTTACTGTAATTTCACAAAATTAAAGAGTCAATTGTCGAGTACTTGATTTGCGTTTAAAAATATGAGATCAACTATTTATAAAAGCAAAGGAAGAACTAATTGAGAATTGATAACCTTGGCATGTCTTTGGGTTTGTCACGATGGTGTAAGAGTTTTTTTTTTTTTTTTTCTGAAAATGTTTCACATGGGACCCTTGAAAACGAAACCCATGTCTTTCTACAGTCAGTTTCTCAACAAGAGTTATAATTCACAACGTATATGCAAAACGAAAGACATGCAAATCTCGAGAAGATGAAATATTTGATACCTTATTGGAATTACACTTGTTCTGTTCTTCAGCCGTAATTGTCATGGAAGGAGAAAGGAGAGTGAAGATGAATAATGGATCGAGAAAGGAAAGCGGACACAAATACTGTAAAAATTGTAAATCTGCCATGGCGTAGAGATGGAGGAAGAGAAAGTAACTGATCCGAAAGCGAGAAATTTGGGAATCGTAATTAGAAAATTCGGCGAAGAAAATTAAACAATATAAATTAGTAAGAGCGGTTGCAAGATATGGGGAAGATCGTGGGGAAGACGGCGAGAAAGAAGGAAAGAAATTTTCTTTAAAATTTTACTGTAATGAGAAAATAATTATTGTTTTACGCTTCAAAACACAATAAATTGTGACTTTGCTTACATTCTTTTTGTGAAAAATTGACGGTTGATTTAGTATAATTAGATAATGCTGTTTAGAGCCCTTAACCGAAGATTATTGGATATTATATTTGAACGAAAGCATCTTTTCCCCGAAATTGTAATTGAACCGAGAAAAACAAACCCTTGTAAACCAACCAAACCGAAAAGTTTAACCCGATATTGAAACAAACAAATATTCGAGAGACAAGGATTCAAGAGACAAGACGAGAAATCAGAGTTGATTCACAAATTGCAATCAAGAAATTGTGGTAAAGATGGGGAATCTGGAGAAAGAATGGATTTAGAAGAACATTAAGATGATTGGGGTCGAAATAACAATGCGGAGAGATGTTTCAGCATTTGTTAAAATTGTTTTGCACACCAAGTGTTCGATAAAATGTCTCCACAGAAAGAAAGCAAGCGAAGAGGAGGGTTTTTAAGTAAAAGCTTGGATATTCAAATACAAACATCAGTAACACTTGCAGCACTGAGAAGTAGAGAGATTGGAGACAGAGCAAGTCTACAAATTTGTAGATAGTTCCAGGGCTTGAGATGTTTAATCTGGTCAGTCTCCAATCAATCAAAGTGTATGGTTTATCGAGAATGGATAGATATTCAAGAGAAGATGATGTTACTAATGCATTAGCAGTGGATCTCTCTTCGGAAATTGAAGCAGAGAAGAAGGTTCATCTGTTGATTGTGCAGTTCAACGAGGGTCAAATTTGAGTTGGATATACAATAATCCAGTGGAACTTGAATATTTGTTCTGGAGGGATATTTTGGAAATTCAGGCAATCATGTTCATTGATTTTCTCGGAGCAGCAGCTGATTCTCTAAAATCAGAGTACCGTGAAAGTCTTGGTGATGCTGCTGAGAGTCATAGGTTACTATTTCAGTGTCTCTAATCTCTTTTATCCTATGAAGTTTATCTTTGGTGATATGAGGTACCAACTTAAGCACAAATGTTAAATCTAAGCTACTACAGAAGTTTCGGCACTAGTGTTATGTTTGGTCATTGTGGTGATGCAAAATTTATAGGAAAGGGGACAGCTTATCATGGCACCAATAAAGATAAACGACAGAGATTTGTGGTGGGGCAGTTACACAGAGTTTGATGAGCTTATAAGATCTGCAGTTTTCCATCGAAGCCACCTTGACTTGCTAAGATTCTTCAATCCAGCATTGATGAGGTTCTTATTACATCACTAGCTCTAGCAGTTCCATCACAGATTCGGATTTATTCAATGATGATGCCACCAGCTGAGACGCAAGGGGAGTTGTTGGTCCAAAATAGTGAGAAAGTCGAAGTATAACATTCTTCTTTCACTGTTTCATGACTGATTTCTTGAGTGCTAATGATAGAATGAAGAATTTACGGGAAATCTAAAACGCCAACTCGCGAAGCTCTTGGTTGTGTGTCTAAAATTAACGGTTCCTGATGAACCTAGTTTTGAGCCCTTGGTGGCTGCCTCCGCTGCTGGAAAATTTGGAGATTACCAATGGTGCTCCCTCTTTCACTTAATTCAATGATATTAAAGTTCCAATTAAGTTATTTTCTCTTTGTTGAATTAGATTCTTTCATCATATTGTTGTCTGCAGTAACAATGCAATGGGACTATGGTCCATAATTAAAGGAAAGGGTACTCAGTTCAAGGGTCCTCCAGCTGTTGGACTGGTTGGTTTGGTCTTTAGAATTTAGTAGCTTTTCGTATGTTGTATGTCGTGAATCAGATTCTTATCCTATTTTATATGTCTTTTAACTCTAATTCTGTTCCCTTTTTCACAAAGGCCCTTGTTAAGAGTCTCCCTACTTCTGAGATGGTGGAATCATGCTCTGTAGCTAGACCTGGCTATATTAATGTCGTACTATCAGCTAAGTGGATGGCTAAGGTGCTCCTATTGTTTTACTCAGTTGTAGTCATTTTCTAGTGCTCATATAAATAATATATGTTTGGCATAATTGTTTTCTAATCTATCCGCAGAGTATCATCGATGGAGTTGACACATGGGCACCTACTCTTTCGGTTAAGAGAGCTGTAGTTGATTTTTCCTCTCCCAACATTGCAAAATAAATACATGTTGGTCATCTTAAGATCAACTATCATCGGTGACATGCTAGCTCGCATGCTCGAGTACTCAAAGGTTGAAGTTCTACGCAGAAACCATGTTGATGATTGGGGAACAAAGGTAGGCTACTTTTTATTGATTTTTTAACCTTGAATTTTTTTTTGTAATTGTTGTATCGGAGAAATAAGAGCTGCTTTTCTGCAGTTTGGCATGCTAATTGAGTACCTCTTTGAGAAATTTCCTGATACAGATAGTGTGATCGAGACAGGTCAGCTGCCTTCCATCATATGGCCTCTCAAGCTTTAAAGTTTTATTTTATGTCAATATTGGCATAATATGCTTGTGAAGAACCGAAGCAATTTAATTTCTAACCTCAGATGTCGTTTTTGATAGGTGTTTTACAAGGCATCAAAAAAAGAAATTTGATCTGGATGAGGACTTTAAGGAAAGAGCACAACAAGCTGTGGTCCGTCTACAGGTAAAGAACAATTCTCCTAACCTAAATCACTAGTGCGTTATTCTGTTTCCCACTGTCTCATTTTGCAGCTGCCTTTAGTTGCAAGATCAATATTACTCACTAGTCTTTTTTTCTTTTTTTTTTTCATTTCTTAGGCGCAGGGTGGTGATCCTGTTTACCGTAAGGCTTGGGCTAAGATCTGTGAAATCAGCCGAACTGAGTTTGCCAAGGTTTATCAACGCCTTCGAGTTGAGCTTGAAGAAAGGTAAAGAAATAGCTGGACCTGTACTACATTATCTGAGATATTGGAAAAAGGATACATTGGTTAATAAAAAATATACATTGATTCAATTCATGACAGGGAGAAAGCTTGTAAAACCCTTATGGTTGTAAAGAGTGATGGTGGTTTTAACTATGCCTCAACAGATCTGACTGCTCTTTGGTGGGTTATCGTTATGTTAATTATTCCATGAAATCCGGATTGCATATTGTTCAATAAATTGTCTGCTGGTACTAAATTTTGCCTGGCTCAGGTACTGGCTCGATGAAGAGAAAGCTCAGTGGATGATATATAACACCGCTGCTGGCCAGGAGCAGCACTTAAGTACGTTCTTCAAGTAGGTTTGATGAGTATTTTATTGTTTTTGACGTCTTGTGAAATGTTATGTCTTGATTCAAACTGTTAGTCGTAACTGTGGTTATCATGTTACTCTGAATTAGGCTGCCAGAAAAGAAGGTTGGCTTCCAGGCAATGAGAAAACTTACCCTAGAGTTAACCATGTTGGTTTTGGTCTCGTCCTTGGGGAAGATGGCAAGCGATTTAGAACTCGGGCAACAGATGTAGTCCGCCTAGTTGATTTGGTAGATGAGGCCAAGACTCGCAGTAAACTTGCCCTTATTGAGCGCGGTATCTAGCTTTGTGTCAGTACCCTCTATGTTTTGAATTGTTGAACCATTCAGTTGTTCAGTTATTATTTGGTCTATTTATGCTTATGTGTTTCTCTGTTTAGGTAAGGACAAAGAATGGACACCAGAGGAACTGGACCAAACAACTGAGGCAGTTGGATATGGGGCAGTGAAGTAAGTATCATTTCTACTCTACTGCTGATGGTATTGAATTTCTCTTCAGTATCTTCTGGTTTTCGCCTTTTCAGTGAGTTTTCGTAGTCAAGGCAGCTCAGTTATGATGAATAGTTTGCCAGATGTTTTGACAGTTGGCATATTGTTGGGGTCGGATTTCACCCATCCTTTGAGACCGAGCCAAACTTCAACACCTCGGGTTATCCTGCTAATCAGCTCGGGGTACTCTGCCAGTCAACTCGGGTACCCTGCCAGTCAATCTGCCAGTCAGCTCGGGTACCCTGCCAGTCAGCTCGGGTACCCTGCCAGTCAATCTGCCAGTCAGCTCGGGTACCCTGCCAGTCAATCTGACAGTCAGCTCGGGTACCCTGCCAGTCAATCTGCCAGTCAGCTCGGGTACCCTGCCAGTCAGCTCGGGTACCCTGCCAGTCAGTCTGCCAGTCAGCTCGGGTACCCTGCCAGTCAGTCTGCCAGTCAGCTCGGGTACCCTGCCAGTCAGTCTGCCAGTCAGCTCGGGTACCCTGCCAGTCAGTCTGCCAGTCAGCTCGGGTATCCTGCCAGTCAGTCTGCCAGTCAGCTCGGATACCCTGTCAGTCAGCTCGGATACCCTGCCAGTCAGCTCGGGTACCCTGCCAGTCAGTCTGCCAGTCAGCTCGGGTCTTGCCAGTCAGTCTGCCAGTCAGCTCGGGGTACACAGTCAGCTCGGGGTACACTGCCGAGCCTTATACTGCAGTTACCCCGAGGCAAAGTCTCAGTGCTACCCGAGGCTCAGTGCTACCCGAGGCAAAGTCTCAGTGCTACCCGAGGTGAAATGTGTATCGTTCCCGAGGCGAAGTCTGCAAAGTCACCCGAGGCAAAGTCTCAGTGCTACCCGAGGTGAAATGTGTATTGTTCCCGAGGCGAAGTCTGCAAAGTCACCCGAGGCGAAGTCTTTAGTGTCACCCGAGGCAAAGTCTTCAGAGTGACCCGAGGCGAAATCTGCAAAGTCACCCGAGGCGAAGTCTTCAGTTTCACCCGAGGTGAAGTCATCAGAGTCACCTGAGGTGAAGTCTTCAGAGTCACCCGAGGCAAAGACTTGGTTAAAAATTCACTTCTATAGTATCACTTCCGAATAGAACGGCATCATTTCCGAAAAAGAAGGATCATTTCCGAGATACTCGGAAATGATAAGGAATAATCTTGAAGGATCTTTGCAAATCAGGAAATCTTCCTAAAACCTCCGAAGAATAAGGAAAGTATCCTTATCCGCAATATTCTAAGCCGACTTCAAGATAAATGGAAATCTTCCGAGAATATCGCTAGAGAGGCGGTTTACCATCCCTATATAAGAAGACTCAAGGTTCTCACAGAAGGAGGGCAATATCGCTCTAGAATTTACACTACACAAAGCTCATAAGCACAAACACCTTTTCTTTTTACGATCAAACTCTTGTACGATCAAAACCATCTTTTTCTTAATAAAATCAAGAACACCATCTTTGGTTTCAATCCGTTATGTTGTTCTTTGAGAATTCACGTTTATTGTATCCCTAAAATAAAACCCTAGACAAATCTTGATTGTGTTAGTTTCGACTTCCACACATATATGCATGCTACAAGCTAATTTGCGGCTTTGTTTAATTTTCTTTCAAGGTATGCTGACCTGAAGAACAACAAATGAACAAATTATACTTTCAGCTTTGACCAAATGCTTAATGACAAGGTACTGGAATTTGCCACCTAGTTTACATATTTGCATTATGCAGTCACCTACACAACCTTATTGATTACATGTCATGAGCAGGGAAATTCAGCCGTTTACCTTCTTTACGCTCGCATCTGGTCAATCATCAGAAAGTCTGGCAAAGACAAATGAATCACTTGATTTTATTCTTTGTTCCTCTTTGCTGCACCTGAAACTTTCCCATTCTCTCTATCAAGGAAATGCTATTAGTACCTACCATATGCAGTAGGATAAAGAGTAATTCTTATGTTTCAACATCTGCGTCATTGCAGACAAGAAAGCTAGCATTCGATTTGCTGAGGTAACACATGCTCATTAGATACTTCTTTCATATTTGACTTCTTTTCCTTGGTAACAAGATGAACAATTGCAAAACTCATGTGTGAACGATTTGCAGACGGTTGAGGAAGCTTGCACCAACTTGTTACCGAGCGTGCTGTGCGAGTACCTCTACAGTTTACCGAACACTACACCAGATAAAACTTCCTCGCACGGCTAGCGTTCCATGGAATTGTGGATTCTAGTATGTTGTACTGTATGTTGTGTTTGAGTCTCAAGGGATTAATGTGATATTTATACACCATAGCTGAAATAAAATTTGTACTTAAACTAATGGGTAATTACTTCATACTGAATATATCAGAGAACATAATCCAACTACCAATACAAATGTCAGAGATGGTTAAGGAACACAACATAACTACTTAACGACATAAGTACCATGAACCTAAGAGAAACTACTAAGATATGCAAGAATAATACAAATCAATCATCTCTATCAATTTTCGTGTTTTCCTTTAGTCATACCTGAGTCGACTTCTGAACTCACTAATGAACTTCTCGGCCTTAGCATCGACGTCAGAATCGTCCGAGCTCAAACTAACACAACTAGCCATCCTCGCATAATCACCTTGAATGAAGAATTTCCATGGTTTCATGTTGAATGGAGGTGGCGGTGGCGGTGGCGGTGTAGAAGGCGGACATGAAGACATTGATAGTGGAGATGAAAGCAGATCGGAACATGGAGAGGAAGGTGGGTACGACTCTGTTGCCACAGGCGGAGAGGAGGGTGGAGAGAAAGTCCGGTGAAGCTGATCCGACTCTGTATGCTCCACAGGCGGAGAGGAGGGTGGAGTGAAAGTCCGGTGAAGCTGATACGACTCTGTATGCTCCACAGGCGGAGAGGACGGTGGAGAGAAAGTCCGGTGAAACTGATACGACTCTGTTTGCTCCACAGGCGGAGAGGACGGTGGAGAGAAAGTCCGGTGAAACTGATTCGACTATGTTTGCTCCACAGGCGGGGAGGACGGTGGAGAGAAAGTACGGTGAAACTGATACGACTCTGTTTGCTCCACAGGCGGAGAGGACGGTGGAGAGAAAGTCTGGTGAAACTGATACGACTCTGTTTGCTCCACAGGCGGAGAGGACGGTGGAGAGAAAGTCTGATGAAACTGATACGACTCTGTTGCCACAGGCGGAGATGACTGTGGAGAGAAATTCCGGTGAAACTGAAACGACTCTGTTGCCACAGGCGGAGAGGACGGTGGAGAGAAATTTTGGTGAAGCTGATACGACTCTGTTGCCACAAGCGGATATGACGGTGGAGAGAAATTCCGGTGAATCTGAAATGACTCTGTTTCCACAGGCGGAGATGACTGTGGAGAGAAATTCCGGTGAAACTGAAACGACTCTGTTGCCACAGGCGGAGAGGACGGTGGAGAGAAATTTTGGTGAAGCTGATACGACTCTGTTGCCACAGGCGGATATGACGGTGGAGAGAAATTCCGGTGAATCTGAAACGACTCTGTTTCCACAAGCGGAGATGAAGATGGAGAGAAATTCCGGTGAAACTGATTCGACTCTGTTTCCACAGGCGGAGATGAAGATGGAGAGAAATTCCGATGAAACTGAAACGACTCGGTTGCCACAGGCGGAGATGAAGGTTGACAGAAACTCCGGTAAAGTTGATACGACTGAGGATACCACTGAAGATCTGGTGGCGGAAATGTCAGATCTACCGGCGGATAAACAGGGAATGCCTGATCTGCAAGCTCCATGTAGTCTTCGTCGTTGCGAAACAGGTAGTGCACCAGAACCGCTAAACAGACTATCGAAGCAAGAACCCTAAGTCTTTTTTCGACGAAGACATCCCAAAATAGATTAGAGACAAAAGCACCAAGTTCGGGAAGGATGAAGAACGTGAACAAGAATGAAGTAGCGGCCGTGTAATAGACCTGAGCGGCATGGAAAGCCACTAAACGGCGGAAGGCGATGGGTTCGCCGGTGTCAGCCATTGTTTCTTCTCTGTTTTCTCTGTGATTTTTTATTCTGTTCGTCCGTTCGTGCTTTCATTTGTAAATTCAATGAACCACTCTGAGCCTGAGCTTTGAGTGTTTCCCAGTCGGAGGTAGTTACAATGTCATTAATTATGGCAAATGCGACTCTGACGTATTATTATTAAAACTACATCTTGGTTTTTGGTTTAACTATTTCGTTTTGATTTACAGATAAAACAAATGGTTTATAAATAAATTTCGGTTTGGTTTTCTGTTTAAGATATTATTTTTTTTTTTGCTGTTTATTTCCCACCTTTTATTATTTTATAGTATCAGAGAAAATTCCACATAAATACCTTAAAAGGATTTCTAGATGAAAAAAAAAAGAATGAACAACTTAACACGAGGGAAACAGGCTGTTGTCTTAAATCTGACATATTTATTACTCCCTCCGTTTCATAAAGAGTGTCGTTTTAGGTTTTCAATGCAAAATTTAATGATTTTTTATGTTTTATGACTATTAGTATTCTGCATATTGTTTTACTATTGGGCAGATTATGTTTAGGTATATAGTTAATGATGTTTTTGTTTAGAAAAAATAAAAAATTTAATGTTTTCTTAATCTGTGTGCAAAACTCTAAAATAACACTCTTTGTAAAACAGAGGGAGTATTTTTTTTTTTGCAGCGACTGTTAACAGTTTCATAATGTTTTTTTATTTAATCCCTTGACCAATATTACACCTTCCCCAAAATTGATTGAACCGAAAAATCGTAACCCGAAATTGAAACTAAAAACAAATGTTCCCAGCAAAAAAAAACCCTAAATTCTTCGATTGGAGAAGAGTCACAAGAATGCAATTCAATAAAGGATGTTCTAGAGTTCAAAACTATATCAACTGTACGTCGTTCAGATCGATGCAGTGTGGATTCAGCAACAAGAAATGCAGGAAAACGAAGCAGTACATTCATGGAGATATATAGACGATTGGATTCACTGGATCGAGAATTGCATTCCATGGATCAGAGTTTGAAGAAGGTCATCGAAGGGGAAATAAACATAGAGTGGACGATCGTTTCTCCTCGATCGAAACTGGAGTTCTTGGTTCAATCATTTCCACTAGCTGCATCGAACCAATCGATGGGAGAATCACGCTTGAATCATCGAAATCAGGTATCGACCTCTCCTATGGAACCTTGCCGTAGTGATGACTGGTTACAGGATTGACATAAGTTTAAGAGACGGTTGATAGCTCAATTTGCACAGGTCAAGGGTCGATTTCCACAAGAAGCGATTCTGAAGAAAGAAACGATTCCAAGCGAGAAATATGTTGTTCATGAGAAAAAATTGAAGCATGTAAGAAGAAAGACTCCGATGCAATCAATTCAAAAAGCAGAATCAAGGCAGAGCAAGGATTCGATCTTGGTGACAGAACTGAGCCAACAAAAGGAATTGCTTCAGGACAAGCAATCTAGCAGGGAGATGGCTGTAATTGCAGAGAATTTTGGTAGCTAGGAGTTCTTTGTTATCAGTGTTAGGGCAGAGAACACATGTCTTGATTGTATCAGCAATTGACAAGTGTCATCGCTAAACACATTGCACACCAACTGTTTGATCACATCTCTCTAGGCATAACAAGTAAAAAGAAATGGCGGGACTATCCTAAGGATTGGAAATTCAAGTTCAAACATCAACTCATTGCCCGAATGGACAATAAGTACATTAGTTATTGTTCTAGTGCTAAAGTATGCTTCAAATGATAAGGGAACAACTTTTAAGTATTGGAGAAGGATGAGACAGACGCTTATGTTAAGGTTTCTATGTAAATTGAGGTTGAGATAGGATCCCAAGGGCCTGAGACAGCTTATTTTTGGTGATTTGAAATCCCCACATGAGGCACAAGTGGAAATCTAAGCAACTAGGAGCAGTTTTTGACCTCAAAACAAATCATTCATATGAATTGGATGTTGTTTACAAGCCTGCAATTGAGAGTAAAGATACTGATGTTATGTTTCAGTTTGTGCAAGACTTCAAATTTGCAAGGTCTACATTGTGTGGTTAGATCTGCTAATATATACAACACCTCAGTTGAAGGATGACCTTATAACGATTTGTGGAATTCAAAGGGAAAAACATTGTGTTAAACATGTGCTTGAACAAACGGTTCTTATGTGTGGGCACTGTTGGAAGGAAAAGGCTGAGAAGTTGCAGGCAGTATTATTCCTTTGATGTTGGATTTGATGAAATTTCAGTCTACCAAAGGGATTGGTATATCAAGATTACTTTCTGGGCCTATAGCTGAAGATAATGGAAATGATAGTCAAACTGAAAGTACTGATGCAACAGCAGTAGCAAGGACTTCATAGGCTTCTGAGTTGGATCAAAAATGGGCAGAGACGATTTTGTGGTTGTTACGATTGTCTTCAGATAGGATGACAATTAACTTTTGTTTCATCAAACGTGCCACAACCCTCAACTAGTGTGTACAAGGTATAGAAGGGAGCAACTCATAGACGGGGAAGAGGAGCTAGTCGTGGTGGAGGAAGAGGAGTAGGGGGTGGTGAAGGAAGAGGACAAAGACAATACCTGCTGGTGTTTCATTAAGCCCATGTGGCGTCTCCGTCCTCCACCATCGTTAGTTTCTACGACTTCGGTTTTTCGGGTCGGTTAGTTCGGTTATCGGTTAACCAAAAAAATAGAAGGATGCCGAAATTTTCCCCTCTTTCTTCTAGGATTTGATTTCCTATCCTTCAGATTCAACGTATTCCAGTTTTGTACCTCATTATTATTCTCTTGATCTTCGTCACTGTTTTCTCTGAATTATGGTACTCGTTCTTTTTGTGCATTAATTTGAGATTTCTTATATAGAAATACGAGTATACTATACCTTGTTTTAAATTAATTCCTAGTTGCTTCATTTATTTTATCTCTAATTGATAGGGCCTTTCGTTTTTGTCTTCCTGATTTTTTTGGTTGTACTGTACAGTATGAGTTTATTAAGGATATTTTAGTTCTCGTATCAATTTCCATACTCTCAACTCTCAAGGTTGATTATTATACTTCTTTAAAAATATGAAAATCACTATGACAAAAATACGCACATAAATGCGGGTCCTAACGTAGACGGATTATAAAAGTTATGCAGAATTGGGTAATATAGCGCTACAGAATCAATGAAAGAACAAATTAATTTGAAATGGTGAAGAAAAGAAAAAAAAAATCGGGAGCAAAAAGAACAACACGGAAATAGAAATATATATAAAAAAGTGCAAAGAAGCAACGTTTTGGGAATTTTTACCAATGTAAATATTGTTTTGGAAAACTATAAATTCTATTTCCAATTTTTTATAATTTATGCATGCATGTCAAAATGTTAATTACCTAAATATACAATATCGTGTAAACCCTATAATTGTGTTTCTTTTTTCCCACATTCACAACCAACTATATATACACAATAACGAACAATTGAAAAACTCTCACTCTGAATCAAAGCAAAAAGATGAAAGAGATGATTAAGAAGTTGTTACGGTTCCTGTTTTGGGACTTACCGTGGTTTTTTCTCTGTGGCTCATCGTCCAATAAATCCAAACCGGTTCGTCAAAGGGGTGGTGGTCCAAACGCTTTCACCTGGGTGATCTTTGCAGTAATGTTCATGGTGCTATATATCATGGTCGCCGCTGGACAGAATCACGGTGCCGCCCGTGTGATAACGTAAAACAGAGTAAGCGATTTAAAGAACCTTCGATTTATTAAAACGATAAATGGATTACAACGTTCATGAAGAACGCGGCACCACTTCTCACCTGCAAGATCCCGTGAAGGAAATCCGGCAAAACGATGAGGAATAACCCAGAAACTTCTAGAGTATTACAGAGGAAATAAGATTTGCATAAGAAAAACTGTGAGCTAACATTCGCTCATATAATGTGTAAAAGTAACGTCGTTAGCAACGACTTCCGTCACAGAGAATCTTTTAGCCTCCAGCTCACCACTCCGCACGTGCCCTCCGACTTCACACGTGTGTTGTTGACCTTCTAGAAAGCTATATCAAAGCTCCCCTGTTCGAAGAACCTTGACCACAAGGTTCAAAGGCTGGAAACTTCTTCTGCAAGTCAAAGAGGAACTCCCACGTTGCTTCCTCCTCTGTTTCATTAGTCCAATGAACCAAAACCATTGTAGCTGCCCGTCCCTGTCTCTTAACCATTTTGCGATCCAAGATAGCCACTGGTTCTTTGAGTAGTACATCGGAGACAATGGATGGTAGCTGAGATGATGTGTGCACATTACCTACTACTGCTTTGAGTTGAGAGACGTGAAAAACAGGGTGAATAAGAGAACCTGTTGGAAGCAGTAGCTTGTAAGCGACCTTACCACACCGATCTATCACTTTATATGGTCCATAATATTTTGGAGCCAGTTTCTGATTGGGACGCATGACCACAGAACCTTGTCTGTAGGGTTGGAGCTTGAGGAAAACTGAATCACCAATATCAAAACTCCTTTCTGACCGATGTAGATCTGCAGCCTGCTTCATACGATGTTGCGCCCTCAACAAATGAAACTTGAGAATAAGGATCATCTGCTCACGCTCTTCCAAACTCCGAGCAACCACTGCAACTTTAGATTCGCCTGGTAGGTATGGAAGATGAATGGGAGGAGCCTGACCATAAACTGCTTCAAAAGGAGTCATGTGGGTAGAGGTGTGAAAATTAGTGTTGTACCAGAATTCTGCAAGGGCCAACCAATTACTCCAGAGATGAGGTCTATCACTGCACATGCACCTTAAATAAGTCTCCAAACAGCGGTTCACGACTTCCGTTTGACCATCACTTTGAGGGTGATAAGCTGTAGACATT